GTTTAACAGTGCTGTGATGAGGGGTCTGGGGCGGGTACAGCTTACAAACCCCTCAGGGTGCCACGCTGATAGCTCTGGGGGAGACTGGACCTATGGGCCCTTACTGTTCTAGAAATCCATGGAGGCTGCAAAGTACAGAGCCTCCAGATGAAGAGAGTCTGCGGATCTACAAAGCAGGACTTACCAATGTAAACACCTCTGAGGGCAAGGCAGGAAAAAGATAACAAACAAATCGGGCTGGGTGTTAGTGAAATGAGTTCAGAAAAACAGTTTGCTTTCCTCTTAATACTCCGATGAGAAAAACAGTAGAGCAAACACTATTATGAGTGACAAGGCATACTTGGGGATTAGGGAATCTTGGAGACTGATAAAGTGGAAAGCCGGTGACCTGTATAAAGGAGGGGACCACCACTCAGCTTCAGTTAACATTATGTTAAAATGTGAGCACCTAAACTATTAAAAAACACACACTGCACAAGCCAAACCAAGCATTTCTGTGACCTATGTCCTGTCAGGTGGCTATCAGTACACAACCTCTGGAATGGAGGTGGTGGATCACACTTGAATTGATTAGTGACTACCACTAGTGGAGTCTAGACTGACAACTTACCAATTATACACAGTTAATTCATTTACTGTTTGGTACCTAAATCAAATAAGTCACCAACCTTCTAATGACGCCCAGGAGCTAAGCACCCTACTGGTTTCCTTACCCTCATTGGGTGGATATCGGCATATGGCGGCTTTCCCTCAGCCATTTCTATGGCAGTTATTCCCAATGACCAGATGTCTGCCACACAGTTGTATCCGATTTCCTGAATCACTTCTGGAGCCATCCAAAATGGTGTTCCTATCACTGTGTTCCTTTTGGCCATGGTATCCTAAAACAGAGAAGAGTAGAGATCAACCGTAAGCATTAAAACTATTGAGAAAAAGAGACTTTTCCAACAATAAGAAACATCTTGTACTTGGGATACATATAAAAACCATACTCAAGGCATGATTGAGCAGGTCACAAAAGAAATTCAAATGACCTAGAAACATAAAAGATTCTCAATTCTTAAAACGCACACATTAAAAAACTCATTATATAAAAAAATAACAAACACTAAAATGAAGTTGACAAAAATTTAAAAGGTTAATAATAACTAGTGCTAGATGGGGCGCCTGGGTGGCTCAGGCGTTGAGCGTCTGCCTTTGGCTCAGGTCATGATCCCAGGGTCCTGGGATCGAGCCCCGGGCTCCCTGCTCCGCAGGGAGCCTGTCTCTCCCTCTCCCACTCCCCCTGCTTGTGTTCCCTCTCTCGCTGTGTCTCTCTCCGTCAAATAAATAAATAAAATCTTAAAAAAAAAAACAAACCAAAAAACTAGTGCTAGAAAGTCAGGCACTGAAACAGCATTACTAGAGTATAAATTGGTACAAGATTTGTGGGCAATGTGGCAATATTTATAGACTTAAATGTCCATTTCCTTTGATCCAAATCTTTTTCTAGAAATGTATCCTATGTGCAGGTCCCCTAAGATATATGCACAAGTATTGGAGAAATATTTGTAGGAGAGGCAGGGAAAAGAAAAAGGAAACAACTCAAATAACCATCAAAAGGGTGTAAATCAAATACAATAAATATCCACCATATTTTTTAAAGACTTATTTAGGGGCAGCTGGGCGGCTCAGTTGGTTAAGCGTCCAGCTCTTGATTTCGGCTCAGGTCATGATCTCAGGCTCTGGGGACCGAGCCCCGCATCTGGCTCCCTGCTTGGCAGGGAGTCTGCTTCTCTCTTTCTCCCCCTCCCAACCCCCCTCACCCCTGCTCGCACACATGCTCTCTCTCAAATACTTTTTTTTAAAGATTTACTTAGTTTAGAGAGAGACTGCACACGCAAGCTGGTGAGGGGGGCGGGGAGGAGGACAGAGGCAGAGGGAGGGAGAGAGAGAGAGAGACTCTCAAGCAGACTCCCTGCTGAGCAGGAGCCCCAATGTGGGGCTCGATCCCACAACTCTGATCCCATGACTTGAGCTGAAATCAAGAGTCAGACCGACTGAGCCACCCAGGCGCCCCATCCACCATATATTTTTTAAAAAGGAGATAGGTACATTTTCCTGGCATGGAAAAAGGTACAAGACATACTGTAAAGAGAAAATTAGGTTGCAAAATTATATTGTTGTATATATATACAACAAAACAGCAACTGATAATAATAAATATCGTTGTTATATGGATAGCAAAAGAAAAATCTCAATACACACTGAACTATTAACAACAGTTACATCTAGAAGGTAGAATCACAAAGGACTTTTACTTTCCATCCCATATACTTCTGTAACACTCTGATGGTTTACATGAATATATAGTACCTGTGCAATCCGAAAATTAAAAAAGGAAAAATCATATATGTATGTGTCTATGTACACGTATAATTTCTCTTTTATCATATACATATACGCTATAAAATAAAATGTATACATAGAGAAAGTCTTAGTTTGGGTCTTAAAGAAAAATATATGAATCTAGCACACATTACTTGCCTACTTCCCCAGAACAGTGTGGCCTTAATGAAAGAGAACCTTTCTAGAGCTCCTGTATTTTAGGAAGAGAAGGATTTTAAACAGAACTAAATATGCAACAGGACTTGCCATCATCATCACTCCTGTTCCTTCTGAAATGCCTGTGGCCTCAGTTAGGCTGTGCCAGTCAGGAGCAAAGGACAGGTAATATTTTTAAATTGATCTCACTTTGTCGGTCCTATGTAAAAAACTAGCACAGGAACTAACTTATCGCTTAGTCATTTCCTTTGCTCCAAAACTTAAATTTGCAGTTTTCAAATGGGGCTACTCAAAGCTGTTTTCAAGAATTATATCCTTGAAATACTCATTATTTAGAAAGGAGTATTTGGATATCTAGAAATTTTTTGAAAACAGAGAGTAATGAGTGGATACTAACCCAGCTTGGTCTGTACGACAAAGTTATATTAGCACAGTAGCACAACAAGAAAAAATATTAAATCCAGAAACAGACTATGGCTATGTATGTGGTATTTATTTGTGTGCACACATACACACACACAGATACAGACATACACACACAGATACATACACACACACAGCTTGAAGATCTGATTAAAATGTCATTCTAAATTACCAAGCAAAGGACAAAAAACAGTGCTGGTCATCTGGCTAGTCATTTATAAAATTCTGTATTTAATTTCCTAACTTATACTTTCCACCAAAGGAAGTTCAAATAGGTTGAAAATTTAAATACAAAGAACGAAATCCAGAAAGTACTAAGTACTAAAAGGAAGTATAGATGAACAGTTATATACTGTTGGAGCAGAAAAGGTCTTTTAAAGGTGACATCGAGGGGTGCCTGGCTGGCTCAGTCATTAAGCATCTGCCTTCGGCTCAGGTCATGATCCCAGAGTCCTGGGATCGAGCCCCGCATCGGGCTCCCTGCTCGGCGGGAAGCCTGCTTCTCCCTCTCCCTCTCCTCCTGCTTGTGTTCCCTCTCTCACTGTGTCTCTCTCTGTCAAATAAATAAAATCTTTAAAAAAAGAAAAATTAAAAAAAAAATAAAGGTGACATCGAAGGCTGAAACCATAACATAAAAGGGAGGTGGATTTCCCTATATAAAATTTGGAACCTCCAGTATTTAAAGAAAAACCATAATCAAAGTAAAAAGATAACTAGCAAATTACAAACAGACGTTTCAACATATATAACAAAGGATTAACAATTTCAACATATAATTTTTTTTTAAGTTTTGGTTTATCTTTTTCAGCAGAGATTTTTTTTAAAAGGTCCAACACAATTAGGAAAATTAAGATGAACAGTTAAGTTACAAAAGAATTATAAATGGCCAATAATCAAATGTAAAAATATTGTTTCAAAAATGATTTTAAAAATACAATTTATTGCTCATTCAGTATTGGCAAATACAAGAGAAAATGGGTACATTCTTTTTTTTTATTAATTATTTTATTTATTTATTTTTAAGTAGGCTGCACACCCAATGTGGGGCTTGAACTCATGACCCTGAGATCAAGGATCACACTCTCTACTAACTGAGCCAGTCAGGTTCCCCCCAATTGGATTTATATACGTTTATATACTACAGTTGGAAGCATAAATCGTTCCCTAGAAGCACTTTATGTGTGAACAACAATATCTTTTGAAAGGTCCAGTAATCACAATATGGAGTAAGTTTCTGATTTTCTTTCTTAAACATCAAAGCAATTTTTGTGCCACTGCAATACCTATTAAACTCCCTAACATAATCCAGGCAGATTTACAAACAAAAACCAAAAAACTCTACCTAATACCAGCCCTAAACAAACAAAAAATACTTTTTCTACCACCCCAGAAAACTGTTTGATGTATAATGCTGTTGCAAATTTTAGTACAAATCTGTCCAGAACTGTTTCTATTTTTCTATGTATATGTCATATATACTTAAGTATTCTTCAAAATCAGGTAATTCTGTATTTCCTGTTTTGAAAACACGGTTTTTGTCACTGCCATCCACTGGTGAGGTAGGAGGAGAATCCAAAGACTGTATCCTGGAACCAGACGAGGAGAGAGTTTTCAGTAAAGTAATTGCCAACTGCTACCTGGGTGAGATGGTGTTATGTCTTATTCAAGGAAAGCAGTTTGGATTGAATTTTTCTCCTTTTGCAAATATGATGAATAGAATTTGAACTTCCACTCTGTCATTTCTTGTTCAAGCTTTTATTTTTATCAAAGTTAAACCATGGGACCTAAACCCCAGGAAAGGATCTATAACAACCTACTAGCTCTTTCATAACTTAGTGGCACCTTCTATAACCTTTTCACAAATACAATGAAATTGAGTATTTTATTGAAAAAATAACTAAAATGAAAGGAATTCCTTCTCCGGACAGGGCTGAAAGTTACCAATAAAAGTAATATTTTTACTTACTGTAAGTTGACCTGCTACCCCAAAATCTGCAAGTTTTGCATGTCCTTCTGTATTTAGCAAAATATTTCCTGCCTTGATATCTCGGTGTATTTTCCTCATAAAATGAAGGTATTCCAGTCCCTTAAGCGTTGATTGTAATATTGTAGCTATCTCATCTTCTGTTAACTAAAAAAAGAATGACAGATTAAAATTCCATCAGTTTACATCATTTTACATTCAAAAAAGGGGAAAAAAAATCAGATCCAAGCTCCCTTCCTAGAATATAAGGTCTTATTCAACCTGTGACAGCATTTGACAGCTTATACCATCACTCCACTAACCCCTTCTAAAGTTACATCTCCTGCCCCATCTCTCCCCAGATTCACGTTACCTGCCTATACAATATCTCCAAATGAATACCTAACAAGCATCATTAGCAGAACACATCAAAATCAAATTCTGTACTTCTACCGCCACCCCACCCCTCTCCTTACCACCCACCCAACCTACTCTATTCTTTCCACAGTCTGCTCTCTCAGGGAAAGGCCGTTTCAGTTGCCCTGGCCAAAAACCTTGAGGTCATCCCTGGCTCTTCCCTATCTTCAAAATATATCCAAATATATCCTCTGTAATCACTAATCACCCTGGTCCAAGCCACCAGCATGTCCTGCCTGAACTATTCTAATAATTCTCTAACTGGTCTTGCTGCTTCTGCCCTTGACCCTGGACAATGCATTTCCCACATGGCGGCGTGCCATAATGAATCTTTCAAAATGCAAGTCAGAGCTGCTCAAAACCCTCCACTGGCTTCCTAAGACACTCAAAATTAAAGCCAGTCCACCCTAGTCTTACATGATCTGGTTCCCAGCTACCTTCACGCTCTACTAGTTTTTGCCTTTCTCATTGTTTCAGCCTTGTAGCCTTCCTCTGCTGTTCCTCACACTCAAAGCACACTTCCACTTCTGGACCTTTGCATCTCGGGTTCTCTCTGCCTACACTGCTCTGCATCCAGAAAGTCAGACAGGGCTTCCCCAATTCCCTCCAGTCCTAGGTCATTCTCCACCCCTTTATCCTACCTTGTTGGTAAACACGGTATTATCTCCATCTGACGTATTACATGTTATTTGTATACCTATCATGTGTTATCTTCCCTATTAGGAACATAAGCCCCATTTTAAAATGTCTTTGGGGGCATCTGGGTGGCTAAGTTGGGTAAGGGCATCCAACTCTTGGTTTCAGCTTGGGTCATGATCTCAGAGCCATGAGATCAAGCCCCACATCAGACTCCATGCTCAGCAGGGAGTCTGCTTGAAAATTCTCTCCCTCTGCCCCTCCCCCAATTCATGCACAAGAATGCGCACATGTGCTCTCCCTCTCCCTCTCTCTCTCTCGGATAAATACATACACCTTCAAACTTACTAAAAATAAATAAATAAAAAATAAAATATCTTTGGTTTGTTTACTATTTACTATTGTTTACTATTTACTATCCCTAGCACCAAGAAAGCCACCTGGCACATAGCAGGTCCTGAAAAATATTTGTTGAATGATGATTTACAAATGAAAGCAAGAATGCCGACTGACACAGAATATCTGCTCAGTTCCATGCTGATTTTGTGCAGACCCAACTCCAGTGCTAAACAAATGCAATCCATCAACAAATTCTCAGTCTCCCTTCTGACAAACAACTCACATTTAGAAGAGAGTATGCTGTGGTGCAAAAAACATGGTATTCGGGATTAGAAAGACCTAGTTTTTACCCTTCGCTCTACATTCTAGCTGTGTGACCTAAGTGAGTTGTCGAACTTCTCTTGGTCTCAGTTTCTCAATCTATAAAACAGGACTACCACTCTCATCAAGAATGTCATGAAAATCAAATGAAATAAGGCATGTAAGAATACACATGGCTTAATAACTATTATGCTACCAATTAATTAACAAATAGTTAATAAGTATCAATAATGAGCCAGACACTCGGCTAATAAAATTAAAAATAGCTAATTATTAAGCATTTATTCTACGGTAGGCACTATTTTTGTAATCTCATTAAATCCTTATAAAAATCACACTAAATAAGTACTATTATCACCACCATTTTATAGAAAACAAAGCTGAAGCACAAACAAGTAATTTGTGCTAACAAATGATAGAGCTCTCACTGCAGTCCAAGCAAACACTATTGGCAAGGTTGCAAACTAGAGTCTGGGTACCTTCTGTGGCCTAAGAGAACAAAGTTCATGTGACTTACTGACGTCTTATTCTAACCATTTAAGCTAATCAGTTAAGGGAGCACTGCCCAATAGAAATATAATGTGAGCCATAAGTACAACTTTTAATTTTCTAGTAGCCAACATAAAAAAAAAAAGCAAAATTAATTTAAGTTTATTTTTTCAGTAATCTCCATACCCAACGTGGGGCTAGAACTCATGACTCCAGGATCAAGAGGTGCATGCTCCTCCAACTGAGCTAGCCAGGCACCCCAAAATTTATTTTGATATTTTAACCATATTTATCCAAAATATTATCATTTCAACATGTGATCAATATATAAAAATGTAAAGTTTTTTTAATGTTTTTCTTTTTGTAATAATTCTTAAAAATTTGGTATTTTATATTTATAGCACATCTCAATTCAGACTAGCCACCTTTAAAGGCCTCAATAACCACATGTAGATAGTGACTACCATGCTGGACAAGACAGAATTAAAACATTTTACAAATTCATGTGTAATAATTAAAGATCAGCACTTAATAGTTAAAAATTACATAAATACAATAAACTAATATTAAAACATCAAATGCACTATCAAAATTAGTTTTGGATTGTTTCAAAATACCTGAAACAAAATAACTTAATGCTGCAGATAAGAAGGCCTGGAACCCCAATTTTTTTTTTTTTTTTAAGTAGGCTCCATGCCCAGCACAGAGCACAACACAGGGCTTGAACTCACAACCCTGAGATCAAGACCTAAACTGAGATTAAGAGTTGGACGCTCAACCAACTGAGCCACCCAGATGCCCCTGGAGCCCAATTTTTAATTCAATAAATTATTCAAGCTTTGGGACTTCTTTAAGTATATCTTATAGTAGGTTGTAATTCCTAGCTAAAGAACTTGCTATTTGATTAGAAAAACATACTAACTCCGAATAATGTAAATTAAGAAAAGGATACAGTCATATAGATAATCCAAAAGTTACAACTGTTTAATTTTTATTTTTTTATTTTTAAATTATTATTTTAATTCCAGTAATCCCAGTAGAGTTAACATATAGTGTTATATTAGCTTCAGGTGTGTAATATAGTGGTTCAAAAATTCCATTTATTACTCAGTGCACACTACAAGTGTATTCTTAATCCCCAACCCCTATTTCATCCATCCCCCAACCACCTCCCCTCTGGTGACCATTCGTTCATTCCCTATAGTTAAGAGTCTGTTTTTCTGGTTTGTCTCTTTTTTTTCCCCCCCTTTATTCATTTGCCTTGTTTCTAAAATTCCACATATGAATGAAATCATATGATATTTGTCTTTCTCTGGCTTATTTTGCTTAGCATTATACTCTTTAGATCCATCCATATTGTTGCAGATGACAAGATTTCATTCTTTTTTATGACTGAATATTTAAAATGTATATGTATATATACATTTACACCCCACATCTTTATCCATTCATCTACCAACTGACAGTTGGGCTGCTTCCTTGATTTGGCTACTGCAAATAATGCTGCAATAAACAAACGTGCATATATCCCTTAGAATTAGCTTTTGCATTGTTTGGGAAAATACCCAGTAGTGTGATTACTGGATCCTAGGGTAGCTATATTTTTAATTTTTTGAGGATACAACTGAGTTTTTAAATATTCTCACCTTGTAATTTATAGAGTGTCTAAGTACTTTCACATATTTAAATTAATTTTCACAATTCTGCAAATACTCAGTATAGGTATTATTCCTGTTTTTCTCATTAAAACAAAACAAACAGAAAAACTAAAGGCTAAGGTGTCTCTAGCTTCTACTTTTATTCATTCACAGTCCACACAGAAGCCATAGTCTATCACAGAAGCCACAGTTTATCTTCTAAAATGTACATCATCAAATGGCTCCTCACCTGCTTAGAACGCAGCAATGGCTTCCTATTGTAGTTGGAATAAAAGGCAAACTCGTTACCGTGGCCAACAATACCAACAGAATGCAGGCCTGCTCACCTGTCTCACCTCATCTCTTGCAGGTCCTCTCACCTCTCCCCTCTACTCACAGTGGCCTTCTTTGTGCCAAATCCGTTCTAGCCTCAGGATCTTTGCACTGCTTATTGCCCTACCTAGAATGTTCTTTTAGAAATCATAGCTCCATCTTGTCATTCAAGTTTTACTTTAAATGCCACCTCCCTGAGTGGCCTTTCTCAGCTGTCCACTCTCAAGTAGCTCACTGAGCACTCTCCAACAGTCCACTCCTTCAAAGAAATTATAACTATCTGGTATTTCTTTTCTAGTTACCATCAGTTGGCTTTTTGGCTGCCCTACTAGAAAATGTATGAGCACAAGAGCAGGACTGTTGTGTTCTTTACTATTGTATCCCTAGGGCTTAGAACAGTATTCTAGAAATACTTCCTGAATGAGCAACTGAACCTGAAGTAGAACCCTTGACTCCTAGCTTTTATCCCAATGATCACAGTAAGGGCAAATAATCTTTCACAGAGATTACTCTTTAATAGAATGTAGAAGAAGTTAATCTGTGAACATGCTGAGTAGGAGGAGAAAACCAAATCTAAATTTAAACATTTCAAATTCATTGCTTCACCAAGATTTGATAGTCATTGTTTTCTTTCCCAAAACATGCTAAATATCACTGGATTAGGCTGGTGTCAAAAACATCACTTTTAGGAGGCATCAGAAAGCAGAGGGGGAAAGAATGATGGAAAAGGGGAAATCTGACAGTCATCTCTCTGGATATGGAAGTAGGAGAGTGCCCACAAATACAAGGCCAGAGACTAGCCCAGCCGCATTGTTCTAGAAGGTAAACTTACCGTTTTATTTCGTAATCGAATGATATCAGACACAGAACCAGCCCCGCAGTACTCCATAACAATCCACAAGTCTGTATTCTTAAAATAACTGCCATAATATTTGACTACATGAGGGCTAAAGAGAAAGCAATAATACGAATTAGTGGAACAGCCTTTAATACATGAAAATTTTTCTGTTCAAAAGATCAACTGTTCATATTTAAGGTTAAAATAGACACCCTCTTGATAAAAATGTAAATGATAAATGATAATAATACTTTCTAAATAATAAATAACCAAAGTGAGAAAATGTACGGGTCTTTTAACCTGCATTTCTAGGTCTACAGATCATCCCAGGAAAAGAACTACAGCTATTTGAAAAGAAATAGTTACCATCATAGCACGTTTTAACAATGAAAACTTAGATACGATCTAAGTGTCCCACAACAAGGAGTTTATTTAAGAAATAATGATCTAGACATATAATGGGATAACCATGAATCTATGGAAAATATTAGAATATTTGATAACATGGGAAGATATCCTGCTTACAAAAAAAAAAAAGAAAGAAAGAAAGAAAAAAAGTACAGGTTACATAATTGTAAGCATGGCTAAACTCCAAAAAGGGATATGTACGCAAAATAGCATTTAACAATGATTCTCTCTCCAAAGGGAAAAGTGATTTTATTTTCTTTCTGTTTGCATTTTTCCAAGAAGTCACGTGTACTTTGTAATAAGAAAAAAAAAAAATCACACTACAATCTACTATAAAGAAAAAATATTCAGGGGGCGCCTGGGTAGCTCAGTCAGTTAAGCGTCCAGCTCTTTTTGTAAAAGATTTTATTTATTTACTTGACAGAGAGAGACACAGCGAGAGAGGGAACACAAGCAGGGGGAGTGGGAGAGGGAGAGGCAGGCTTCCTACAGAGCAGGGAGCCCGACGCGGGGCTCGATCCCAGGACCCTGGGGACCATGACCTGAGCCGAAGGCAGACGCTTAACCAAATGAGCCACCCAGGCGCCCCAAGCGTCCAGCTCTTGATTCTGGCTCAGGTCATGATCTCAGGGTCCCGGGATCGAGCCCCGCGTCGTGCTCCCCGCTCAGCAGGGCGTCTGCTTGTCTCCCTGTCCCTCTGTCCCTCCCTGCTGCTCATGTGCACCTGTGCTCTCTCCCTCTCTCTCTCTAAAATAAATAATCTTAAAAACAATTTTAAAAAGAAAAAATATTCAGCATCAGACCCAGAATTCTGGGTATCAAGCTTGAAGAGAAATACCCAATGAGACTTCAGAGAAAAGTCAAACATCCCATTAAAATGAAATAACCTGCCCACCGAGAGCTACCAGCTTTAATTGGTTAGATTGTTATCAGGGCTAAATAATGTTGCATAATAACCAGAGATGCTAAAAACCTACTCAGCTTCATTAGTGCTCAGAATTTCAAATGCCCCTTCACCCTTGGGAAACATGCCAATGACAAGGACAGCAGGAAACACACACACACACACAATTAATGAAGACATGGATGAATAAGTCTCTGAAGGTACAGATTATACATCTGCTCTCCCTTCCTTAAATTCCTGCAGTATTTACTGCCTTTACAAGGCAAGTAATCTCAGCTACTTACTGCTGGAACATGTCCTGTATAATCTTGTATCGTTGGCCAGATTTTCCTGCACATATATATGCCTGGCCTGTCCAATTTGTCTATAAACTCCCAGAGGACAAGAATTCTGCCCTGTATTTCTCTGTACTCCTTACCATGCTTAGCACAGACTAGGCTCTTGGAAATAACTCTTCTTTACTTAGAGATATTTGCATGCTCTGTTTGAAACACAGCTCTTATGTAGCATATCAGAAGTGGCAAAGTCCCTCGGGGCGCCTGGGCAGCTCAGTCAGTTAAGCATCTGACTCTTGATTTCAGCTAGGGTCGTGATCTTGGGGTTGTGAGATTGGGCCCTACGTCAGGCTCCATGCTCAGCAGGGATTCTGCTTGAGATTCTCTCTTCCTCTCCCTCTGCCCCTATCCCTCATGCTCACTCACTCACTCTCTCTCTAAAATCAATCAATCAATCTTTAAGGAAAAAAAAAAGAAGTGATAAAGTCCCAATGTGCTGACTAGAAGAGCTTCCATACTGTATCTTGTAGCAGAGGAAAAGGAAAATTTCTACCTAACTCTGGTCAATCTGGTCAAGAAATATGAGGGTTTTGTCTAGTAGAGAGTAACCACAAAAGTATAAAGAATAAAAGGAAGGGAGGGAGGGAGAAGAGAAATAACTGCATTCACAAGCCTGTGAGATCTAAGGTCTCCTGGGCAAATGTCCTCGTAGGCAGCCCCACCTGCCCCAATGCTGAAGTTTTACAAATAAGAGCTACTAAGCTCATCTGCTGAGCAGAAGAGCTTCAGGAGAATGGATGCAGCCTCCAGTGCAAGACGTTCTCATTCTCCTTTCAGCTCCCCAGAGCTGGCGTTGCCCCTAAATTTGTGTTCTCTCTCAAATTTAAACAGTAGTGGGGAAGCCTGCTCCATCACTGTGACCAACTCATGTTGTGACGGAATTTCAGAGCACACCACGTGCTTTTCTGCGGTTGCCTAGTGGCCTGACTTCCTGCTTACAGCATTTGACAAATCTTAGTTCCTCAAAAATAAAATTCTTAACTACTCTGAGCTTGAAGAATTCTTTTTTAAATGTAGGAAGGAAGAGTAATACATAAAAAAGCATTCTCTTTTTTAGATCTGTCTGATATTCTAACGTCTCTAGAGCTAAACGTATTTGGATTATCTCTTCTTAGCTATCTCTGCAGAAATATTTTCTCAACAGGAAGTAAAAGAGATCATTATCAGAAGGAGAAAAAAAAAGTCAGCAGAACCACCTTCTGCCTCTCTGCCTCTTCTTCCTAGTTTTGAAAGGGGCTTACTGAAAAAAAAAATCTATGCAGAAATAGAAACTATAAAAGTCTAGCTACTAAAACACACATTTTTTTCATCAGATTTTTTCTGAAAAGAACATGTGTAGTGATTCCGCCTAAACTCTTTCACAAAATCTCTAAGTAAATGCATCTGTACATGTTAAACTCTAAATAATCACAGCTAATCTAAAACTATGTTCTCTCCAAAGTAATACCGCATGCCTTTACCTGTCACATTGCTGCATTATAGAGATTTCTTTGATTATCTCCTGCAGATCTGATTCCACAGGAACTTGCTTAATCGCGACAATCTGACCGGTCTCTTTGTGAATAGCTTTGTATACACTGCCATAGGACCTGTAATTGGGGGAAAGAGAACATTTATAAAGGCAAAGCAAGTCTAGAGATAAAAAGTGGTAGAACAAAAGCAACTCATGGTTCTAATTTATATCCCTACATGCCTAATATATTTATCTACAACTGCAAAACTGAAATAGCTAAAGGACTTTGGGAAAAAACTGTTAACTTCATATTTAACCTTTACTGAATGTATTCATACAAAATAACCACTATTATAGTAGCTCCATGCACTATATGCCTGATCTCTGCTAGAAATTGTGCATCATTCCAATTCATCCTTACAAAAAGTAAACAACAACAATAAAGAAGAGGTCATTATCCCTATTTTACAGGAAAACGTGTAAAGGCTCAGAGGTTACAGGACTTGCCCAATATCACAGAGATGAAAAATAAGTGGTCAGGCCAGGATGTGAATCCAGGTGTGTCTGAACACAAAGCTTATGTTCTTCCCACATCTACCTGGGCTAGAATGCTGAAATGGAGGTCTTTGTGCTCTTGTGTTCACTCCAGTACCATGAGGTTCTTCTGTCCCTGTTCCTCTTATTGGCAATAATACTTAAAAAACATTGTGGAAACTAATTAAAAATCTAAGCCCTTTCAAATGCTAGTATCAGGTGAACACAGCACATAGAAAGCCTTTTGCTCCATCTGCCCTTATGAGCTTATTATCAAAATAAATAAAAAGTTTATGTGTCCATTCAATCTGGTGCCTAAAAGAGCAGGAAATTTAGAATCGAAAGACCGAGGATTTGAGCCCTATCCTCATAACATATTAGCCACCATTTACATACATATTAACCTTCTCAGGCCTCAATTTTCTCACCTGTAAAATGACAATACAAACTACAAGACAGTTGTGATGGTCAAATGAGACACCACCATCACCCCACACTGATTACATCTTCAGTGGAAACCTTGACGCTGTCAGTGAAAACACAATGAGGAAGCCGTCTTTCCTATTTCCCAAACCCACCTATTTCTTCATACTGCCCTGGCGAAAAAAACATCCACAGAACAGTACCACCTGATATGTCAAAGTAGCTGAGTGCTCTAGCTGCCAAAATGATGCTCCAGACTGTTTCAATGTAAAAGTAACATAAACTAAATTATACAGAACACATAAAAAAAATTTCCAGCCCATCAGAATCCCTTATGTTGGCAAAACTAGTATAATGATCCCTGAAAGTTACATAATTTTTTCCCCCAGAGAAAGGCAACCGCTGACCATGTGTGGAAGGCCTGCCTGCTGCCCTTTCTTCCTTATGAAGTTAAACCTCTGATTCATTGGGGTAGCGAAGGCTTGGTTCTAGGGGATAAAACATGGCGGTCCAGGCAGATAGCATTCCTATTCCTTCTGCCAGTGACCTGGTTCTGGCCAATGAAATCTGAGGGGAATTCTGCTGAAGGGATTCTGAGAGAGGCTTTCTTCCCTGATGAGAGAGAAACACACAAGAAGGCCCATTTTTACCTGCCACTTCCTTTCCTACTTTGGTTACTGTTACATAAGGCATGATGCGTGAAACTAATGCAGCCATCTTGAGATAGAGAATTACACAAATGCTAAACCATTATCAAGCCAATTAGCCATTCTGGAATCTTTCACCCCAGCTTTATTATTACTTAGTTATTAAATGTCCTTATTAGGGGGGCGCCTGGGTAGCTCAGTCATTAAGCGTCTGCCTTCGGCTCAGGTCATGATCCCAGGGTCCTGGGATAGAGCCCTGTGTTGGGCTCCCTGCTCAGCAGGAAGCCAGCTTCTCCCTCTCCCACTCCCCCTGCTTGTGTTCCCTCTCTCTCTGTGTCTCTCTCTGTCAAATAAGTAAAATCTTTAAAAAATTCAAAATTAAAAAAAAATAAATGCCCTTATTGGTTAGCCATTGCTAGTTGGGTATTTTGTTACTTTCCAAAGTTATTCTTGATACACTAGGTCCCATATGTGTGAAGATGTCTGTATTTCACATTCTCTTTGGAATTGGTTGTGCTGGATACAGAGTTCTTGGACAATAGCACCTTTTCTGCAGTTTTCCAGCTTCTATCGTTGCTGAGAAGTCGGCTATCGTAATCTCTCTCTCGGTAGCATTCAGGATTTCCTCTTTATCCTTAACATTCTACAATTTTATTATAATGTAACTAGGAGTTGATTCACTTGGCATTTCGTAAGCTTCTTCCATCTGAAGGCATGTTTTTCTTCAAGTCTGGAAATTCTCAGCATTGTCTTTTTCCTATCTCTTCTACTATCTCTTTCTAGAATTCCTACTGGACCCATACTGTATCTCCTCAATCCATGCTGTCCTCCAGACCTCTAACACTGCACTTTTCTGTCCTGCACTTTGTGATCAGTCTTATTTTTATCTTTCAATTCACAAATTCTTTCAGCTTGTATAGTTCACTGTTTTTCCAACTTACTGGGCCTCCAAAACTTCAATGATTGTCAAGATTCCCAACTTTAATTCTTCCCGGAACCCATCTGTTCATGTTCATAACCTGGTGTTCTTCTTTTAAGGATGTTAGTCCCTCATCTTTTTGAAAATCGTAAACAAACATGTTAAATCCCTTTTGAGATTGCTCCATTATTTCTATTTCCTTGGATGTGGATTCTCCCATTTGTTCTGCTCATTATCCCAAGGCAGTAGATTCCTTATATGGGTTTCCTTTATCTTGAATGATTTTCCTCTACACAATGCTAACTGCCACGAGCATTTCATGATGTCATGATGGTTTCATGGTTCTCTCGGCCCATCATCTAGACTGTACAACAACTTAAACTTGGTCTCGTGTTAGGAGTTGAGGGTTTCTGCCTCTCTAGATCCCATACCTGAATGCAGGCCAGGCCCAGTTCCTATTGTCAAACCAGTACCTCCATGTTTTCCCCAGGCCACGGGCAAATGATACTTTCTCGTGGTGATCAAATTTATTTCAGCTTTAGTTCATAGATGGGGAGCCTCATCCATCCCACAACTTCATGTAGGAAGCTTACCTGCCATCTCCTGACAAGGACAGGGCAAGCCTTACTCTCCTCTTACTATTATGTATCTTTTCCATCCCTGGTCCATAGCTGGCCATGTATCCTTTTATTTAAAAATTTAATTTCCGGGGCGCCTGGGTGGCTCAGTCACTTAAGTGTCTGCCTTCAGCTCAGATCATGATCCCAGGGTCCTGGGATCTGGAATCGAGTCCCATGTCCGGCTCGCTGCTCAGTAAGGAGACTGCTTCTCCCTCTCCCTCTCTCTCTCTGCCTGCCACTCCCCCTGCTTGTGCACTCTGTCAGATAAATAAATAAAATCTTTAAAAAATAATAAAAATAAAAATTTAATTTTCATTCATTAGTTTTATCTATCTGAAATGGAAAGAGAGGTCTCTGCATATATTCACTCAGCAATCTTAACCAGAACACCATCCATGCCTCTCTACGCTTCTTGAGAGCAAGGAATGCTCCAATAGCTTGTATGAACAATTAAGATTCATGATTCTACATACTGCACTTACAGTAATCTGAAGAGAATTTAGAAGCCTTCAGCAACTGTGCTCACTTTTAGGCAAATCCCATAAGACCGGATTCCCTACAACAAAAACTACAGTGACTTGATGAATTCTGACTGGCAGAGAATAAAAATGGTGGGGACCTAGGGGTTTCACACAAGCCACACAAGGCAAGGATCAATTTGGAAAAACAGAAATAATACAGTATCTGGAGCCAAATTAACTAGATACAAGCCTTAACAATACCACTCACTAGCTATGAAACCAGGGGCAAGATGCTTTTTAATTATCCTAGGACAAAAAATTTTAGTGAGTCAAAGTGTAAAACTTTAAGTATAATAGAAGGAAAAAGGCACTAGGCTCTCATGCAAAACACTTTCCAAGCATGGTCCACTCATCCTGGTCTGGAGCGCTGGCTCTATCCTGCCACAGATCCACAGGATTTCCTCCATACACAGAACAACTGCGGCCTCCAGAGAATCCAACACAGTCCATCAGCCAGAGCTCATTTCATAAGACACAAGTCAGTGAGTGTTCACAATCTACTCATTTTCCAGAACAATTTAAGGATGGCATGGCAGTTTGTGTTTAGACAGCTAAGTGGAGTTAAGGTCTTCCTTCGGGATTCTGTTAGTTAAATGAAGCTTGTTCAGGTTCGTTCAGAAATCCAAGCATCGGTGGTATCACTTAAAAGAGCACGATGGTGATAAAACAAGGAGAAAGATCTTAAGCTTTATTTTGATTTTCTTGGTTTTATCTTTGTAAGGAAATTTCCAAGTTCCTTGATGAAGACATGCATAGATCTAAAAGACAATTAAAAGCAATCATAATTAGCTTAGTTTCCCCTTCCTATATTATCAGAATATATTCCTGATATATTTTGTCTGTAGTTTTCTTTTGGTGTTCCCCAAACCCAATCAACCCAAACAGCACTCCCTTCAGGAATGCCTAAATAGACTGGAGGTTTAAGATTTAACTTTAATTTGACATGACAAGGTCTGAAAAATGCTTCAATTGGTAGGCTTAAAGATAAAAGAATCATAGTTGCCACTTATTGAGCACTCACTATGTGACAGGCACTGTACTCAGTACTTTACCCCCATTATCTTGGGTAATACTTGACATAACCCAAATGAGGGTGGTATGAATATCTGCACTATACAGAGGTTTCTGAAACTTCAAAATATTAAGTAATTTGCTCAAGTTCACTCGTTTATTGTGACTAATAAACAGTAGAGCAAGGATTTTAACGCAGGTCTAACATCAGAGTCTATGCCCGTACTATCATAACACACTTTTATTAAAAATGAAAGAAACAAGTTAGTTACATATTCAATTATGCCTAACATGCTTTATCTTATTCCAAAGATGACCTGTGAGCACTGTTAGATTAAGGGCATTAGACTCACTGCCTTGAGGAAAATAGCCAGGAGACCAAGCTGAAGCTGAAAAGGACAGGAAAGAGATGTGGAGGGACTGTCGTTTTCCGTACCTTTAAGAATGCCAAGTCAACTTGCAGTTTTCAGAATCATCTTGTACTTGTCTTCTAACAGCACAGCTGGCATCCTCTTTTATTCCCTTCTCAGCTTGATGTCTTGCTTGATTCCAAAGAGTATTGTTCCAACTTACAAAAAGATGACTAATGTTTTTTACAAGGAGGCAATCCATGAAAACCTATGCCATGTAATCTAGGATCGGGTTTAAGATTATTCCTGACCTATATTAGACATAAGTAACACTAAACCCCAAAATAATCTAATGACATATAAGACTTGATTTCAAGGCGCACACGGCACTTAAACAACAGAAATTTTTAAAAGTTAATATTTCAGGTCTTTTGAACTAGAAGTACTCTCGAGAGACTAAACACACACACACACACACACACCTGTTTATTAATGCAGAAACTATCACTGAATGATACACAAAAAACCACTATTATGAAATACCATTTCAGCAGTATTTTATACACACTCACAAATCTGGGTTTCAAGAAGTACACTGGTTCCCGACCTGGGATTTTCAATCTCTTGGAAGGTGTAAAGGTAGTGACAGTCCTTGATTTATTTACTATATTTCACAATGCTATACTAACTAAAATGCTGAATTCCATTTTATGGAAACAACAGTTATTACATATTGATTAGAAACTATGAACAGCAAATAAAAATGTATGACTAATAAAAATTGTTAAATTAAGTACAGACTAGTTAGTGCTGTTCCATACATAAAATCCTGTAAACTATAGATTCTACAAGAGAGAAAACAATAGATGCCTTTGGTGTTGAAGAGGCCAGGCATCATTAAATCTGTCTCCAGCGATGACTGGAGGAAAGAGGGAAAGGGCATCTCAAGCTGTAAATTTCCCGCCCACCCCACTCAGAGCAGTGCCATATGCAATGTTCCTCTTCCTTCTCCTTAGGTTTGTGAATTATTGACATGAAAAAGGTTCAGCTCCTGCTGGTGTTGGGGGAAGAAAAAGACTGGGACCTACTGGTCTACCTGTATTTTCTGTACACTTACCCTTCTCCAAGTTTCTCTAAGACATCAAACACTTCTTCTGGTTGTTTAGTTAAACTATCTTCATCCAACTTTTTCAGCTGCCTGTGAATGAAGAAATAAAAACATAAAATACATTTTACTTGCTAGCAACTACACCACAAAATACATTATTTATATTACAATTAGGATCTTAGGAATTGCTCTACAAAGTCTTTACCGGTAAACAACAACAAAGGCAAGCTAAGAGACATTTTTTTCTATTATTATGTTAGTCACCATATAGTACATAATTAGTTTTTGATGTAGTGTTCCATGATTCATTATTTGCGTATAACACCCAGTGCTCATTACAACATGTGCCCTCCTTAATACCCATCACTGCGCTACCCCATCCTCCCATCCCTCTCCCGTCTGAAACCCTCAGGTTGTTTCCCAGAGTCATAGTCTCTCATGGTTCATAAAGGACTTTTTTTTTAAGTTTTTTACTTATTTAAGTAATCTCTACACCCATTGTGGGGCTTGAACTCATGACCTCAAGATCAAGAGTCACACACACTTCCGACTGAGCCAGCCAGGTGCCCCAGCTGAGAGACTTAAGGGCTGTCTATGGCAGTATTACATGTGTCCTGCAGCCCTCTGGTGAGCATAATCAGGACCAGAGGGTAGAGAACTACCAAGAGTCAGACTTCAGTTCAACAGGTGTAAGAAATTTTCCAAGGTGCCTGGGAGGCTCAGTCAGTTAAGTGTCTGCCTTCGGCTCAGGTCATGATCTCAGGGTTCTGGGATCAAGCCCCACATCGGGCTCCCTGCTCAGTGGGGAGTCTGCTTCTCCCTCTCCCTCATGTCCCTCCCCCTGCTTGTGCTCTCGCCTACACTCTCTCTCTCTCTGAAATAAATAAAATTTAAAAAAGAAAGAAATTTCCTAACAACAAAAGTTGTTCTAAAATGGTTTAGACTGCCTTAAGAAGTCCCTAGCTCCCCATCACTGGAGAACTTAAACAGAAAATGAATCATCATTTGGCTGAAATGCTACAGAGTGGATTCCAGCTTTGATAGAACCTTAAAAATCCATTTATATCTTGAGATTCCATGAATTAAGATGGCATAACTATCTCTTCAGAAGAGATGTTTAATGTAAGGTTAACTATGAATTGAAACATGGTCTCAGACTGGAGGCCAAGGAAGACATAGAGACTCTTGCTCTCCCTTAGCAAGATTTTGGTAATTCAGCTAAAACACAGGAATTCTATAGGTATCACAGAAACATAAAGTGGAAGGTATACACTTATACATGATCAAAAGTGAAAAATAACTATGCAGCTAGGAACTTCAAACAGACTCAGACTCTCCCATGAGTGGCTGTGTACATCCAAGAAGCCCCCGAAGTCAAAGATACATGGCAGGTTATAATTCCCTGATAATTCAGATTTTTCTGACTATGCTAGACACAGTTAATAACAAACCTGGGAGGTTATAAATTAACAATATTTTTTTTAAACTAAGATGGCTGAAAATTATCAATGGGCTTAAGGAAGGAGCTTGCCAAGGAACATTTGTGTGTGTGTGTGTGTGTGTGTGTGTGTGTGTACGCGCACGCACGCGTCTGTGTGTATCTTCTACACAATGGTTTCCTGAAACTACAAAGGACAACAAAAAAAAGAGAGCTCAGGAAATGGTGAAATTATGGAAGTAGTAACACTGGAGACTTTTTTGTAGAGAAAAGGTTTAAACTAGCTGGATAATACCAATTTTTACAAGAGAGGACTTGAATTACATACATATATACACACGCACACATACCTTCCTGGAGGAACTAGCAAAACCAGAAGACAGAAAACTCTGAACACATTGAGTGTATCCACCCATAAACACTGATCTCTAAAGGACAATCTCACATAATTCTGTAAATGTCAAAGACTACACACTAAAGAAATGGAGAAATGCTCCAAGTCAATAACTGCCACAACTTGAAAATTAACAAATGACCGTAGTGACCTTTGAAAATCAAAAGGTCTTAAACATTAAATTCCAGTGACGACATAAAAACTAGCTTCAAAACAAAAAGGGCTGAAGTGAAACTCCTCTTAAACTTCAGAAGTGAAATGTCTATGAACTCAGATGTTAGAAAGAACATTGCATGAACCAGGAGGGTTTTTTGTTGAAGCGCTGAATTCATAACTGTATAAACAATGGACGATACCTCATTTCTCAAGTATAATTAAACAGCTTATATAAAGGAAGATCAAATGTCTTCCTCTGAAGTACTGACTTTGTGGTTTACAAAAAGCAAAACTCACTATTTCAACTACTCTGAGACCACAACATAACAAAGGAAACTGTGCCTGGCATGCGAGAAACAGCTGCAAGCCCCTGATAATCCTCCAACAAACTGTATATACCTGCTCAGAGACTTCTTTCAAACAATCTACTTGGGTTTTGTGTGTGTGTGTGTGTGTGTGTGTGTGTGTGTGTGTGTGTGTTAGTTAAGATTTTTTATTTATTTATTTGAGAGAGAGAGAGAGAGCAAGCAAGAGCACAAGAGCAGGGGGAAGGAGAAGTTGACTCCCCGGGGCTGGATCCCAGGATCCTGGGATCATGACCTAAGCCACCCAGGTGCCCCAGTTTTTTGTTTGCTTTTGATCCAGGCTTAATAGATCTTTATCTCTTTGCTGCCTGATAACCCAGAGGTGGTCAATAAATATTTCCTATATGGATTAATGAATGTAACGATGGGAATCCTAAACTTTTATCAGCAATCCTTGTGAGTTTCCAGAACAGAATGCCACCCTAAAAAGGATTACCAGATTATCAACAAATAAGATTCCTTGGAAAATCTTTTGATAAGTGACTCTCAATGATACTTTATACCGTAAGTCTTCATGGAAGAAGCACAAAACAGCCCGACTGATGATTCAGCTCTCAGCTCGGACTTCCCCGGGTCCTAGGTAGTTTCATTGCTTGCTCATAAAAGAACAGGCCTGGCCAACACAGCCTCCGTGGACCAAACACCGGCAGATGCTCCTCTCCTAAGTCAGACGGCCACGTGGACAGCCAACCATCCCAGAAATGCCCTCTACATCCTCCACCACACTATTATTATCTAATGCCAGCTCACTTTAAAAAATCATAATCTCCTACGTAACCCATCAACTTGAATCTCTAATCACTCAGTCACACACAAATGTCAAGCTCATGAATGCAAAGAGCATTTCCTGCATTGAGATTACTATCCCTTGCTGGAAACACATGCCAACTGAATCTCTGAAAAGACACCTGTATCTCTCCAAACACAAACAAGGGTATTTATGAAATAGTTACTCACAGATTTGGCTAATTCTCAAGCCTCTTTCTCCTATCTTAGAACTCTTGTAAGGTTCATTTTATTTATGTACACCTATCCCTCTTTCCATTCAGAATTTGATATGGTTACAACAAATGTGTAAGATAAATTGATAACTTTTTAATGATAGTAAAATTCATATGTTGCCCCTCCCCAAATTCCTACATTGAAGTACTAAGCCCCAGGACCTCAGAATGTGTGACTTCATTTGGAGACAGGGCCTTTAAAGAGGTAATTAAGGTAAAATAAGGTCACAGAGGTGGGCCCTAATTCAATATAACTGGTGTCCTTATAGGAGATAAGGACACAGAGAGGTACAGAGGGAAAACCATGTGAAGACATAGGAAGGAGAGAGCCATCTACACAAGCCAAGGAGAGAGGCCTCAAAGAAACAACCCTGCTGACACCCTGATCTTAGACTTCTAGCCTCCAGAAAACTGGGAGAAAATACATTTCTGTTGTTTAAATCACCCAGTCTGTGAAACTGATATGGTAATTCTAATAAATGCAAGTAATAAAGTTAATCTAATGCAGATTAAGTACTTGACTAGTTATGATGAGCAGGAAAGTACCAGTCATTCAAGAATTCAGCCCTGCAATGCTCTTCTCTTGCACATTTAATAAATTTCTTAAAATCCAAAAGGTGCAGGAATGAGCTGGACCAAAAAGTAAAAAGGTTTACGCTTTTGCCCAAGATTATGTAACACAAGGCAAGGTAGAAACAAAACTCAATTCCTAATCCTCTTTTCAATTAAACCGAGACCTCGGAGAAACAATGAATATATTTCAGAAAGAAATATAACCAGTGTACATTTATAACTGGATCACTATGGTGCTGTAGCAAATACTTGCTAACATACACAGGCCCTGTGAAACAGGGGTACTTCCAGAGCGGCATCAGAGGAAGCAGTTAAGAGCATGGACTTTGGACCAGACCACCTGGTTTAAAATCCCAGCTCTGCCACTTACTAACAGTGGAACCTCCTGCAATCACTTAAAACTCTTTGTGCCTCAGTTTTATCACCTGTAAAATAGAGATACAGAAGTAACCACCTCATAGGATTGTTGTGAGGCTCGAAAGAGTCGTAATAAGCTGAACCACACGAAATTACCATTTTTATAGGTCAATTACATGTGGTTCACCAGGAGACAGGGAAAGCACTTTTTGAAAACGGTCCCTGGCATCCAGTAGGTGCCGTATGTGTAAAAATCATTATTATTTCCGTCTCAGCACACTACAGTAGGGTGAATTATGAGTCCATCCCAACCAGCTATTCGCCTTCTGCAATGTTTGTGTACTTCAAACAAACCCCAAGTGTGCAGCCCAGGCTGCCAATCCCTTCCCTTCACCTCTCCTTTGCCCCACACTCCCACACACTGAACACTTCCTACTTTAGTGCTCATTCTGCCGCAGGAAGTCAGAGGTCTCTGTGAAATAGAAGCTAACTACACTGCACCTCAGAGAAGCATGACTCCCTTGATCTCTGCTATTTTTCTCCAGATGTGGCAGAGTGACACAAGACCCTGGTGTCCACAGAGCAAATCAATGATATAACTAAAACCAACGCAGGAGTTCAGACTTTCTAGGATCAGCCACCTCCCGGATCTTGACTTAAAACAATTCCAGGCAGCAGCAGGATCTGGAGCTGATGCAAAACAATAGAGCCCTGAAAAGGGCCCAGTCTGGTCAGGTCGTGACCCAGACCCTAGAGCAAAGAAGGAAACACATAGAACTGTGTCTCAACTCTTCTGGGCCATCAATTTGCCCTTCTTGAAAATATCCTCTTATTTCCTTATCCACCTCCCAATGTCAGGTTTGAAAAGCTGAAGAGGATGTATGGAAAACTAGGCAGGCAGGGGGGCATCAGGAATGAAAGATGTCATCCTCATCCTAGAGTGGGGACACTACCCGGAAAATCTTCCTAAATGCTTATCCTGCATGAAGCCCTCCCTTGCTGGACCTTCAACCTTTCTCGGCACGCCTCCAGCCTTAGGCACAGAGCTTTTCCCCTCAACAGATCCTCCCCACTGCACCCCTCAAGTGGGACCCCCTCCCTTAGGAAGTCCACCCAGCCTTCCTCTGCTTGTTCCTGACCCATATCTTAGACCCCTCTAGGTTCTCATCCTGCTTCAGCATGCCCCCTACCTCAATGAATCGTTCCTAGCATGGCATCCCCCCAGGCGCCCCCGCCCTCAGCAGGTGCTCTCCCTAACTTGTCCCCACGTCCCTCAGCAGCTGCTCCCTTCAGCAGTGCCCCCGTCCACCAGGATGTCCCCCCGCAGCAAGTGCTCTCCCCAACCAGCCCCACGTTTATCCCGCTGGGCGCGTGCTCCCCTCTGCCGGACCCCCCCCCGGCGGAGATTCCCCCACTCAGCAGGTGCCAGGATCGCCTCGCCCCGCAGGTCCATCCCTCCGGGGGCGCACCCGGTGCCTCTCCTCCACCAGTTCCCGCCTTTCCCTCTCCCCACCCCCTGCCCCTCAGCCAGCGGCCCCTCACCGGCGCGGCGGGTTCCTCAGCTGCACCGTCTCCATGGCGCTGCCGGCAGCCGCCCAGACCCGCTCACTGCTCCATCCTCCCCCGGGACCTCCCCGAGCCCGCCCCGCAGACCCTCCCACACTTCCGCTTTCCGCCCCCACCGGAAGCGGCGCGCAGCGCGCGAGCGGGGCGGAGCGGCGAGGACCGGCCCGGACCACGTGGTGCGGAGACTGAGTCACGTGGCGCGCGGGGCGGGGCCGCGGATCCCGGAGCGTCCTCCGTAGAGCTCGAGTGCGTCGGCGACGCGGTGCCCGTGTGGGGCGGTTCGTCCGGGACACTGGGACTCGGGCCGGGAGCTCGTCTCCGCTTCGGCCCGACCCTCGTTCCTCGGACCGCGATACTGAGGGTGCTTGCGAAGCGCCGTCGGTTCTCAACCGGCCAAGTTCTACGCGATTTCGGGGAAGCGCTGCTCCGAGGTATTTGTGGGTTCCTACCGCTCCTAGCCGGTTGGATTCTTGTTCCAGACGGAGGCCGGACCGCCCTTGGATGTCACAGAGCATCAGGCTGCAAATTGCTCACCCTCTTTTCTTAAGGGCCTCTCACCTTTGAGTTAGTTTGCGGACAGAAAGATAGCTAGCTAACCGTGATTAAGCTCTTGCCATGTGCTTACTTACGTATATATTATCTCGTTTAATCCTCTTAGGAAACCTGTAACGTTATCCCCAATTTTATGTATTATTTGTCCTGCTTTTCCCAAAGGTATGCCACCCATGAAATTAACACCTGAGCAACCACCTTTCAGGACCACCCAGGTATAGCACCCCATGTGCTAAAATAGGGGTAACCGATCCGTTCCCCTTACACAGGAGGAACACATTTACAGAGAATCTATGGGCCAGGCACAATCCTAGGCTGTCTCTTAATCGTCAAACAACCCTATGAAGTAGAAGTTATTATCCCCATTTTACAGGTGAGGAAGCTGAGACTCACTTAGACACAGCTAGTGAGAGAAAAGTTTTTAACCCAAGATGGGCTGGACTCCACAGAATGCATGTTTTATTTGCCTCTTTGCCCTACTACAAATCTGTACAAATGGCAGTAGGAGCCCTGAGGTAGTAAAGATCAAAAGTTCCTATACAAAGTTTAGGAAGCCATCACAGGTCCCTATTGCAAAAAGTCAGCCCTCTATCCTCTGAAATCCCCTGGTACTTTTCCTGTACTTCTCCTAAAGCACACTCCTCGTTTGACCTTATGTTCAGGCCCCGCTGCCCACACACACACACACACACCCACCCCTATAAATGAGGTACTTGGAAAACATTTTTAAAAATAAATGTGAATTTACCAGTACACAATGTCAAACATCCCTCCTTTATCCCCTTCCTGGGATTTTTCCAAAAGATAGACTGACATTAGGATTGCCCCGTCTTTCAGTAGAATGTCCAGTCCAGCACTGCCCCAAAGAAATTTCTGTGATGGTGGAAATGTTCTATATATGTGCTGTCCAAAACCATTGCCAGTAGACGGACACATGTGGCTGCTGAGCACTTTAAATGTGACTAGTATGACTGACAAACTGAATTTTAAATTATATTTAATATAACTAAGGGGCACCTGGGTGGCTCAGTTGGTTAAGCGACTGCCTTCGGCTCAGGTCATGATCCCAGGGTCCTGGGATCAAGTCCCACATTGGGCTCCCTGCTCAACGGGGAGCCTGCTTCTCCCTCTTCCTCTTCCCCCAACTCATTCTTGTTCTGTCTCTCAAATAAATAAATAAAAATCTTTAAAAATAAATAAGTAAATAACAAACCTTAGCGAACCATAATATGATAATAGCTTAAGAGAAAGAACCAATGGGGCGTCTAGGCGGCTCAGTTGGTTGAGCATCTGACTTGTGATTTTGGTTCAGGTCATGATCTCAGGGTTGTGAGATTCTGCGTCTGGCTCCGTGCCCAGTGGGGAGTCCGCTTGAGATTCTTTCTCCCTTTCTCTCTGCCCCTCTCGCCGCGTGTGCACACACTTTCTTTCTCTCTCACTCAAAAATAAATAAAATCTTTAAAAAAGAGAGAACCAATGAGCAGGGTTACTCATATTTCATTCTGTGCCTACTGAGCTACACATGCCTGGCACTGTACTAGGCTCTGGCTATGTACTAGTACTCAGGACATAGATGAGTTCTAGCTTTTTTTTTGTAATTTACAGTGTAGAAGACATAGTTGCTACAGAGGTAATTAATGTAGTGATAAATTATATAAAACTAATATGAGAACCTAACCGAGGCTAGTAGGATCAGGAAAACTCTGAGGTCAGAACAGTCATTCATTCATTCAGTCAGTCAGTCATTCATTCATTCAACAAATACATATCTAGTATATGCTCTGGGCCAAGCACAGTACTAGGTGCAAAGCAGTGAGCAAAATAAAGTTTCTACCCTCGTGGATCTTACATTCAGGTGGGAAAGGCAATAAACAAAGCAAGAAAAACCATATAGACCAAAAAAAACATGTGACTGAATTGAGACTAAGTCACACTAATATTTTTAAAGAGCATTTAAGGCAGACGGAACAACAAGGGCAAAGGCTTGTGTTGGAAGAGCAGCTAGAAGTTGGCATGTTTGGAGCAGAATGAATAAGGAACGGTAGGAGATGAGGTAGGAACTGTGGCCGGAGTCACATTGAATAAGGGCAATGTAAAGATGCAAAAAATTGCAAAGAGTTAGTTCAGTGTACCAGTTAACTATCACTATGTAAAAAACCACCCCAAAGCCCAATGGTTTCTAAGTAATCATTTTCCAGTTTTTGGTTATTACAAATAAAACTTACAATCATTTATGTACACGTTTATATGGACATACATATAGGCATACCTACATTTCATTTCTCTTGTAAACACGCAGGTGAGAAATAGCTGGGTCATATAGAAGATACTTGGTTAATGTATTAAGAAACTGTTTTTCAGGGTGATTATACTATTTTACATTTCCACCAACAGTGTATGGGAATTTCAATAGCTCTATGTCATCTACACTGGTATGATTGGTCTTTGCAATTTTAGCCGATCTAATAGTGTGTAGTGGTACCTCACTGCGTTGCCTTTCTTTTTTAAAAGATTTTATTTATTTATTTATTTATTTATTTATTTATTTATTTATTTGGGGGGGCACAAGCAAGGAGGGAGAGGCAGAGGGAGAGGGAGAAGCAGACTCCCTGCTGAGCATGGAGCCTGATATGAGGCTTGATCCCAGGACCCTGAGATCAGGACCTGAGCTGAAGGCAGACACTTAACCTACTGAGCCACCAGGCTCCCCTCTCACTGTGTTTCTCATTTGTATTTTTTCTACTGGCTAATGAGGTTGAGCATCTTTTCAAGTGCTTGTCATCTGTATATTTTCTGAACTATCTGTTCAAGTCTTTTGTCCTTCGTAAAATTGCACTGTTTCCTTGTTACTGAGTTTTTAGTGTTTTTTAATATTCTGGATGCATGTCCTTTATCAGATATGTGATTTACAAGCATTTTTCTGGGGCTTGTATTTTCATTCTCTTAACAGTCTCATTTAAAGAACAGAAACTTTAATTTTTAAGTATAGTTTATCCACTTTTTTTCTGAGTCATACTTTTGATGTCATACCTAAGAAGACTTAGGGGAAGAGACCAACCCTGCAAGCTCACTTCCCAGGTTCCCATGTCAGCTGACCTTTGGCCAGTTTCAGCCAGCACTGGCAGGAGATGGAGGGCAGAACTAAGAGAGAAGCCAGTCTTTCTCTCTCTTCTTTGCTTCTGATCAAGTATCCAACAGTAACTTTGTCTTCAGCTCCTCCTAGAGCATCCTTACTTGGCTCCAGCTTCTACTCTACTGCAGCTTCTGAACTCTGTAAATATCACTGATGAAGGAGCAGAGGCAAACTGAGGGCAAAGCACAAGCTAACACTCCACAACTCCTCCACCCCACCTTGTGGGATATGTGTGACATTCCTCAGGCACTTCTGGCTGCCCTAGGACAAAGGAAAGGAAAAAAAAAATGGTTAACTGGGGGCGCCTGGCTGGCTCAGTCGTTAAGCGTCTGCCTTCGGCTTAGGTCATGATCCCAGGGTCCTGGGATCAAGCCCCGCATCAGGCTCCCTGCTCCGCGGGAGGCCTGCTTCACCCTCTCCCACTCCCTCTGCTTGAGTTCCCTCTCTCACTGTGTCTCCCTCTGTCAAATAAATAAATAAAATCTTAAAAAAAAAAAAAGGTTAACCGATGGCGATCGCAGTCATGCCGGATGCAGGACACAAGTCTCCTTCAGTTTGCAACTGTCTTAATGATTTATAAGGAAAAAAGCAATTTCCGATCGGAGGGGGAGATGAACCATGAGAGACGATGGACTCTGAAAAACAAACTGAGGGTTCTAGGGGGGAGGAGGGAGGGGGGATGGGTTAGCCTGGTGATGGGTATTAAGGAGGGCATGTTCTGCGTGGAGCACTGGGTGTTATGCACAAACAATGAATCATGGAACACTACATCAAAAAAACTAATGATGTAATGTATGGTGATTAACATAACAATAAAAATTTAAAGAACAACAACAACAAAAATTTCCAGAAACCTATAGACTCAATTTCCTGGAGCCCTAACATCACCCTCCTCTCCATAGGATAGAAAATCTTTAATCAGTCACTCCTCATAACCCCAGTGCAGCTCTTTCTACCCCTGGGTCCTGCCTCCGTGCTTTAATAAAACCTACCTTTTTGCCCCAAAGATGTCTCAAGAATTCTTTCTTGGCCGTTGGCTCCAAACCCCAACACTCCAAGCCATATCATCACCATTTCCTTTTTATATTCAAGTCCTGGGCCTAGTAGTCATTTCCTGCTGCTGCTGGCCTTTGGGCTCCCTCACCGTTCTCTGTTGGCTTCTTGACTCCTCTTTCACCTCTGACACCCAATTCCCTGAACTAACTTCTTATCTCAAATCCCTTCCATAAGACATCTTACTCAGTGTTTTCAGATTAGATCATGATTGATACACCTGAACTGAAAAGCATCCAGAACTGTAAATTGACAAATTATGATGCTGTCTATACTTCTTTCCCCAAGACTAATTGGTTCATTATTTGCAATCAGCATATAAAAGTATTGGCTGTGCCTGGCTCAGTTAAATGAAATGTAAGGTTGTCCTGACTCTTTTTTTTTTCCTTAGATTTTATTTATTTGCTAGAGAGAGCGTGGGCGAGAGAGAGTGAGCAAGAGCACGAGCAGGGGGAGCTGCAGGCAGAGGGAGAAGCAGGCTCCCTGCTGAGCAAGGAGCCCGATGCGGGACTTGATCCCAGGACCCTGGGATCATGACCTGAGCTGAAGGCAGCCGCTTAACCGACTGAGCCACCCAGGCGCCCCAGAGTGTCCTGATTCTAACACATCTTTACTCACCAGCGTCTCTCAACCAAGGAAGGCAGAGATATTATTTAAAGAAACTACCAATTAACCCTGAAAAGAAGTGTTTAAACAACAAAAAGATTACTGTCCAATAATAATGTCTGTGCATATTATCTCATTCAGGAGACTACAGCTATAATATCTATTCCTTCCCCATTAAAGCTGAATACAAATTAAATATGGCTTTAATGAGATGGTTAACTCAGAGAGATGAAATCTTAATAAATATCAAAAAGTTATTTCCTGCCCCAAAAAGAGAACCCAAATTTCCATCAGCTGATAAATGTATAAATAAAATGGACACCCAAAATGTATACAATGGAAAATTATTCAGCAATAAAAAGGAATGAAGTTCTGATACATGGCTACACCATGGATGACCATGGAAAACACTGTGCTATGTCAAAGAAGCCAATCACAAAGAATCGTGTATCATATGATTCCATGTACCTGAAAAGTCCAAAATAGGCAAATCCATCAGAAGGTAGATTAGTGGTTGCTTTGGGCTTGGGCTTGGGGATGGGGGAGATGGGGTAGGTGAATTGGGCCTGATGACTAAAAGATGTGGGGTTTCATTTTGGGGTAATGACAATACTGTAACATTGATTGTGGTGATTGTACAACACTGACTATAATAAAAACCACTGAACTGTACACAACTTTAAGTGGGTGAATTTTATGCTAGCGAATTATTTTTCAATAAAGTTATTTTTAAAAAATCACCTCCTCCTAGAAGACTTCCTCTCTGCCCGGACTCCCCAGTATATCCCTCCCCTAAATTCTTTCAGTTCTGCTTTTATCAGCTCTGCATTTATGGGAAGCATTGTGGGAAGGGCTTACCATTTATCAGTTGCTGTGTTAAGAAACCATTCCCAAAACTTAGTGGCATAAAACAACATTTTTTTCTCTCGCTCATAAATCTACAGTTTGAGCATGGTTCCACAGGGAAGGCTCATCTCTTTTCCATGGTGTCAGTCAGGGTCAGTCACCATTTGGATGAATTCTTACCCAAAATGCCTCACTCACATGGCTGACAAGTTGGTGCTGGCTGTTGGCTGGGAGCTCACTTGGCGCTGGGGGTAGAGGGGACTTCTCTGTTTTGGTTAAAATAAATATGGGTAAAGGCTAGGTTCTGAAGGATATTTGTGAAAGGGAGCCAGGCGGAAGCTGCGGTGCCTTTTAATGGCATAGTCTTGGGAGGTAGATAATGTCCCTTATACTGTTGAGGGGACCCCAAAGTCCTGTGCAGTTTCAAAGAGAGCTGAAGACTGGAAATTATTGTTTTGGTCATTTTTGGAAAATACAGCTTGACACAGGTGTACTTGTCTGGTGTACCATTTAGAATATATCCACCTCCAAGCAAGAGAAAAAAAAAAAAACAACTAAATGGTGGCTTAAGGCCCCATGGCATTTGTTGTTTTATTAATAAGTAGCCCAGAAGTCAGTCCGCCCAGGTTTGATTCAGGGGCTCACCAATGTCAATTTCATCTTTCCCCTCCCCACCCCAGGACATTGGTTTTTCATACCTGCGCTTACTGCCTCACAATTGCAAAATGACTACCACATGTCCAGTTGGATATCCTTAACCCAACAGTACCCAAATCATAAAGAGAGCAAAAGAAGCTATTTCGCAGTCCTGTACCTCTTATCTGGGAGGAAAAACTTTCTCATAAGGACCCAGCAGACATCCTGTAACTCACTGGGGCAAATCACGGGCATGTCCACCCCTGACCAATCACTGGCAAAAGAGAGTGAGATTATTGTGATTGGTTTAAAGAAATCCTGATTCATTCCCTGGACCAGGAGAATTCAGACTTCTGGAAGCAAAGATGGAAGCTGTTGAGTAGATAACCAGCAGTGTATGTGCCTGGTCGAGTTTCCCCACCACACTAAGTGTTCATTCTTTCCTTGTGTGGGGCCCGTGCTGGACTGAGGGGATTCAGATGGAACAGCAACTCAGAAAGTTTATAGTCTGGTTGGGTTGGGTTTACACAAATAATTATAACTAAATCCCTGAGGGCAGAGACCAGGTGTTTGTCAATAGACCTTCAGAACGGCATGTTTGGTGCCAGCTCCGATTAGGTCTTGTGGAGACAAAAATAAAGACCTATTTCCTGCCTTTAAAGACCTCACAGTCTTTGAGAAAAACTATAAACTGACAATCACAGAGTGATAAGTGCCAAATGAAGGATAAACCTTGGGAGCAATAGGAGCAGAGGAGGGACAAGGTGAAAGACGTGAGGAGTCCAGAAAGGCTCTCAGAAAGGATGGTTGAGTTGATTATAGGTGGAGTCAGGATCAGGCAAGAGGAAGTGTTTGGAAAAGAACTGCAGGAGGGGGGCACATAAGCCAAGGTCAGGAAGCAAGAGAAACAGCTTCATGTGCGCTGGAGACAACAAGCAATTAAAAACACTGGCACATCAACCGGGACATAGAGTTAAGTCAAAGGACGCTGAAGATAAGCTAAAGTTTCCCTCTGCGAAAGATCCTCATGAACCTATCAGTGCATTCATTTATTAAATCAGCATCTACAGAGCAGTAGGTACCAGTTAATTTCCAGCCTCAGTACCTTTGCACTTGCTATCTCTCGGTCTGGAATAGCACTCCCCAAATCTTCTCAGGTTTCTTCAGCTCAATTAGTCCCTCAGAGACGCCTACCCCATCCCACCCCCCTTATCTAAAATAGTCCCCATGTGGTCACTTTCCATTACATCACTGTTCTGTTTTCCGTCTAGCATTAATCACATTATGAGATTATCGTCTTCGTTTGCTCAAGAGTTAACAGCCTGTCGGTGACCACCAGAATGTAAGCTCCTTGCGAGCAGGGACCCGGCCTCTTTCATTGTTTCACCCAGAGTTTTAGCATCCCCAGGTTCTCAGCCTACCTCCAGAGACCCTAGCGCGCTTCGCTTGGCAAGTCCCGACCCGAGCATGCGCAAAAGGCCCCTGGCGCGCGCAGCTCTGGCCCCGCCCCGTGCGTCCCGCCCCCTCCCGGGCAGGTTGGCCGTAGGACTCACGTCCTCGCCGGCCGGTGCTCCCGCTCGGACGCTGTTGCGCCGGCCTCCGCGCGGTAAACGGATGCGCCCCCCGGTGCGCCGTCCCGGCCCCGGGATGGGCCCCAAACTCGCAGACTCCGTGGACGAGCTCCGCGCCGCCGGCAACCAGAGCTTCCGCAACGGCCAGTTCGCCGAGGCCACGGTGCTCTACAGCCGCGCGCTGCGGACGCTGCAGGCGCAAGGTACGACCCTGGCCCCCGTTTCCGTGCCAGGCCGGCCACTTCCTCCGGCGTCCCCCGCCGCGGCCGCCCAGACCTCGCTCCTGCCCGGGGTGCCTGCGACTTGCTTTCCCCGCGGCCAGCTGGCTCACCAGGGCTCCCGCCCATTCCCCGCTTCGGCATCCTACGAGAAACTTCCTTGGCCCTCTCTGCCCTTGTTTTTTTTTAATTGTAATACGGTTTTATTACTGGTTCTTTTTCACTTCCTGGCATATCAAAAACATATTTCCATATTAATGGGTGTTTTATCACATTTTTTTTTATTTCGGCAAAAAAAAAAAAAACCCACGGCATTAAATTCACCGTCTTAACCATTTTTTAGGTGAAGTATTAAATACGTTCACGTTGTTGTGCAACAGATCGCTAGAACTTTTTGAATCTCCAGCAGTGAAACTCTGTACCCACTAAACACTAATCTTCCTTCCCTCCCCTCGGCCCTTGGTTTCTACCTTTTTACTTTGTGTAGCTATGATTTTGACTAGTTTAGATCGTTCAGATGAGTGAAGTCATACGGTATTTGGCTTTTGTGACTGATTTCACTTAGCGTAATGGCCCTGAGGACAATGTGACAGATGTTTTCCTTCTTTTTTAAGGCTGCATAATTTTCCATTGTATGGGTATACCACACTTTCTTTATCCAGATGTAAACAAGGCCTGTCTGATAAGGATCGGGGCTGCAAAGAAGACAAATACAGTGATGTGGTCAGAGAGGTGATTGGGGAGCTCCTTTGGAGTGGAAGATCAAGGACAACTTTGAAGAAGAAGTGACCTTTGAAGTGATATCGGAATGATGAGAAGAAGCCAAGGGCACAGAGTTTTGGGTGCTGAGCATTCCAGGTGGAGGGAACTGTTCATTCCACAGGCCCCCACAGAATAAGCGTGGTGTGTTGTAGGAGCCAGAGCATAGTGAGCCAGTGGGGAATTGTAAGTATTGAGGGCAGTTAGATAGGCAGAGCCCTATTGTGTAGGCATTTTACACGGTAGGCTGTGGTAGGGAGTTTGGATTTTATTCCCTGATGGGAAGCTACTGGGGAGTTTTGTTTTAAATGGAGGAGCAGCATGGCCTTTATCAGTTCTCCCAGCCTCCAGCTCATGGGTAAGACGCTTTGGAGAAGAGGTAAGCCTCATTCCAACCAGCCTGTTGCCCCAAACCTCTCTTCCAAAGTGTCTTACCCATGCGCCCTCATTTTCTGTAGTACCTATGTCCCTTGGCCTTCTCTTCTTGGCTAGCATTTGTTGAGTGCTTTTCTGTGTGCTAGGCACTACAGACCTCATTCCTTTTTATCTTTTTTTTTTTTAAAGATTTTATTTATTTATTTGACAGAGAGAGACACAGTGACAGAGGGAACACAAGCAAGGAGAGTGGGAGAGGGAGAAGCAGGCTTCCCGCAGAGCAGGGAGCCCGATGCGGGGCTCGATCCCAGGACCCTGGGATCATGACCTGAGCTGAAGGCAGACGCTTAACGACTGAACCACCCAGGCGCCCCTCCTTTTTAATCTTACAAACCTACAGATAAGACTCTTTATGGACGAGGAGTCCAGAAGAGTTAAATTTGTCTGCACTGGGTTGTACAATGAAGACATATCAGAGGCAGGATTTGAATGCGGGTCTGTCTGATTTGCAAGTCCCAAGTTTTGAATCATTTTGCTAGGCTTCTCCCCAAATCCTCTCCAAATTCCAGTCTGTCTTATTTGAACTTTTGCAATTTCAAGCCCCTCTTTTGCCCCCTCTTGTTTTTCTAGAACACTCCTCTTTAGGCCCGCCTCCTCATCTCAGCCTCACTTGATGTAGTCACTGACGAAGCTGAGATACTGATATTACTGCCTTTTTTTTTCATCCTACCCCAGCTGGTCTGGAAGAGCATGTGCTTTTGTATGGATTTATTCTGGATCCTTAGAAGGGCTGGCCTGGGGTCTAGACTTAGTAGGGGAACAGCATTTGGTTCTGATCTTGCTGTGGATTTTCCAGATGATTTCTGGGCAAATCCCTTGATGTCTCTGATCACTTTTGCTGGAGCAAAAGGACGGCAGGGAGCAAGCTAACAAAATGAACCCTTCCAGCAAGTTTGTGAAGTGATATGTTCATGTGGTAGGGGAGCACACGCGATCAGAGGGATTGAGTGACTGGTGCAGGCTCACGGGCGGGATCCTCAGTTCCTCCGCTGCCCTTCCCACCGCACCTCTGCTACTTGCGACTTGATACGGACTACGAGTTTTGAGTACTTGTGCTTGTTCCTCAAGGGCAAGGATATATTTTACCTTTTTCCCGTACTTTGCAGTCTCACTCAGGGCCTGGCAAAATAAGGGGGAAAGTTCTTATTAGTTTGTTATTGTTGATACTGAATGAACGCCATCATGCCTCAGTATGGTAACATACTTAGAAAAGAGTAAGTTGCGGAAGGATAGGGAGTAGGGTGCCACTTAGTTTCGGAAAGCTTTGAAAGATATAAAATGGTATATTCTCTTTCCTGTGAATGCATATGTAATAGAAGTGGGCAAACATGCATACGGGAGGATGTTACCTACCAGCTTCAAGACTGTGCTGGCATCTGGGGGTCTGGGGAGGAAGCAAAGGGAAAGGGTGAGGATGAGTGGACCTTTAGCCATCTCGAAAATGAAAGAGGTTGGAAGCAAGTATAATGTATGCCAAGTCCAATGATGGATGTCAAACATCTGTTTTACTGTTTTCTAAATGTTTCGTAATTTTCAGAAAAGAGTTTGTTTTACTTCTTTGGGGGTATATACCCGGGAGTGGAATTACGGAGTCAACGCTTAATAATTTTGGGGGTGTTTTGTTTGTATGCTTTCCGTTTATGGCTTATGCTAGTGGGTATGAAGTGGTTGAAAAATTACTTTTTTAAAGATTTTATTTATCTATTTGAGAGAGTGAGAGGAGAGCACGGGAGGGGCGAGGGTCAGAGGGAGAAGCCGGGAGCCCGACGAGGGGCTCGACCCCGGGACTCCAGGATCATGACCTGAGCCGAAGGCAGACGCTTAACCAACTGAGCCACCCAGGTGCCCCGAAAAATTATTTTTATAAAATTGAAAGTCATTGTGGCTACACGGTAAAAGACATCGGCTTCTGCGATTCCTGAGGATAAGGATTGCCTTTAGAGAAGTGTCTGATAACTCTCCTCCACGCCGGGTCGCTTGAATCCTTCCCCTGATGAAGTCCTGCATAGCCCTGCCAGACCCAGAGGACTCTTCCCTGGCAAAATCCTTTCTGACTTAACCAGGTAGGATCAGTCTCTCTCTCAGAGTGAAGGAGACTTCAGTCTCCTTATCACATTTTTCGTTTCCTTTTTCAGGAACCCCTCTTAATCGGGTTTACATGCTTTTTGTAACAAAATTCACACACGTGCGTGCACACACGCACACAAACACACAGTTACGGCACGGATCTCCTTCAGCAGAAGCCAGCTGGTTCATGTTTTGTCTTTTGCCTGGTCCTCGCTTCAGTGCTGGAATGAGTGAAGGAGAAGGTGTTTGGTTCCCCGTGAGTGGCGGGAGGCTTGGTGCTCTCGCTCCCATGTGACAGCGACAGACCTGGCAACCCAACAAGCCTGAGCGGGAAGCCCAGAGAGCTCCGGGTACGAGATACACCCCGGAGTCCCGGGGCGTCCATTTCGCACCCTGTTAATCTCGTACTTTCTGCTTCGCCCTGGCCAGGTGGTTCGAACCCCAAAGAAGAAAGTATCCTCTTCGCCAACCGCGCAGCCTGCCACTTGAAGGATGGCAACTGCAGGGACTGCATCAAAGACTGCACTGCGTAAGTGGGCGGGCGCGGCCTCGGGGGCCTCCAGAGGGGAAGCTGTGTTCATCGGGCCTGTCCTCTTCTTGGGGTCGATCCCAGCAGTTAACAGATACGTCAGATAACGAGGGCGTGTCCCTGAGCGTCACCAGCTCACGGAGGATAGGAGGCTCTACCTGGTGCTCACGGCCCCTGACTTGTGTCTTCGGAGTCCGCCAAAAGAGCAGGAGTCAGGTGGGGGCTTAGAGGTGGGCCTTACGGGCCTTGGGAGATCGGGGGCCTGAGGATGAGAGTGAGCTGCAGGCTAGTGACGGGCTCACCCCGGCGTTTTCTTGGGTGGATGTGTGTGAGAGGGAAGGAAAGAGGGACAGAGGTGAGTGAATCGCCGCAAAAGAAGCAAGGAGAAGAAGTTATCCATCGATGACCTGGTGTAACGGGTTCAACGGTTTGTCATACTTCTTTCTTCTGCAAGCCAGTCTGACACCGCCTTCTCTCCTCCTCACTGAGCGGACACACATCTGCAGCATCGCCTTAGGTTTGCGCCCTGGTGGTAGCTGAGGGAGGAGGAGAGGGGAGCGGGCTCGTGGGGCCTGTGCTCAGTGGCTCCGTACCAGGCCCGTACCAGGTTTCCTCCCCAGAGGGCTCATGACCGCTCTGCGGGGTAAGTTTACCGTCCCGCCCAGGCTAGAAGTGGGTTGCAGCCAGTTGAGGCCGTAAGGTGATCTGCCTGGGGTCCCGTGGCTGGTGCAGAGGTAGAATTCAAACACCACTCCGTCTGACTGCGGAGCCTGTTTCTCCCACCGGGTCGGACTCTGTAAAAACACATGGAAGAATGAAAGCCTCAGGCACTTGTTCTTGATCTGGGGGGACTGCGACTCGGAAAACTGGTGCACGAGCACACATTTCACAGTGTTGGTGGTTTTCTGCCCATCGTCCCTTCTCCACTTTGGTCTAAGATAGAAAGTCCCTCTGCTAAGGTCTGACATTTTTAGCAGCGTCTCTGTGCCAGATATGACCTCCTGTACGCTGAATGCTGCAGATGACCCTTCCTAGAAGGAGCTGCGGGGGGGGTGGTGACTCAGCAGCTGGTGACATTTCTTCCTCTGGCTCTAGAGCACTGGCCCTGATGCCCTTCAGCATGAAGCCCCTGCTGCGGCGGGCATCGGCCTACGAGGCCCTGGAGAAGTACCCGCTGGCCTATGTGGACTACAAGACGGTGCTGCAGATTGATGACAGTGTGGCGTCGGCCCTGGAAGGCATCAACCGGTGAGCCTGACTCTGCAGGCGCTCTCTCTGGACTCACTCGGGACCATGGCTTTGGTCATCTCCTGGGGGTCCCCCGAGACCTACTGAACACGTGGGGAAAGTGCAGAAGGACAGTCCGCTGTTGTGGTTAGCAGGGGCCTCGGGGGTCAGAGTGAGGGGACTGATAGATCGATGGTCCAGCTGCTCCGATTCCTTACCAGGGTAATAAGGTACTGAGCTCTGTGTGTAAGGGATTGTGCCAGGTGCCCTGGGGAATATATACCCGCTTGCTTCACAGACCTAACTAGAGCGGGGAGAGTGGGCCACAGGTGCAGGCAGCCAGGACACAAGGCTGTAGGGTGCTGTTGCAGGGATGCGTCGGCCTGTGGTACTGTGACCCCTTCACGAGGCCCGTCAGGCGCCATTTTGTTCTGAGTTTCTGAGTGGTGCTTTGTTTCCGCCTCGTGGCTGCCCTCGTTTGTGTACTGATCATGTTTCCCCTCTTTGCGTGGGCTGCTAGAAAGCCAAACGCTACCCTCACAGCAAACCCTTCAGAGGACTTCGTGGCGTGTGTTTAGTGTATCATTTTTAGCTTGACTGGTTTTCTCTCTGCCTCCTTTTACTTTCAGTCATTCAACAGAATCTGGCACTTCTGCGTGCCCAACTTTGCACTAGGGCCTGGGCTGATGCCCGACACATAGCTCTTCCTGCCCTAATGGAACCCCCAGTCTCGTGGGGAGCCCCAGTCAGTCACAGCCACGTGCACCACAGTGTGGTGAGTGCTGCGGTAGGAGGCGGCCCAGGGGGCTGAGGGGGCAGAAGGGGGCACCTAACCTGCCCCCGGGGCGGGGGGGGGGGCAGGAGGAAGCCAGTCGGGACTTCCCAGAGGAGGTGAGCTGAGGCTGAGAAACGAAGAGATCTGGGGCTAGCGCAGCAGGAAGGGCAGCTGTGCCGGGTGAGCCGGGGTGATGTGTTCCCGGCATTGTGAGGAGTCCCGTGTCGCTTGGCGCTGCGGGCGAGGAGCTCAGCTCGGACGTGAGGTGAGGCCCGACCACACAGGGCCCGGACCTAATCCAGGCACGGTGAGGCTTTGTGAAAGGGTCTTCAGCAGGGGCGCAGTGTGAGCAGATTTGAGAGGGAAGCTCGCTGGTTGCCGTGTTGCAGGATGACGTGAAGGAGAGCAGAGTCGGAAGGGCTGGGCGGGAACTCAGGTGGTGGAGATGGTGGGAAGAGGACAGTGGGACCAGTTCTGGGGACAGTTAGGTAGTAGTTCAGTGAACCCGAGTGTTGGGGGTGGTGAGAAGGGAAAAATCGGAGAAACATCCTGGTGGCTGCCATGTTGAGTTGGAGGGGACCATGAGACAAGAGGCGTGAGGACAGTGGTTGGTATTTACATGGGTTTTGGAGCAAAAAGAGACAAATACAAGGCAGATCTATGGATTCGAAGGTCATCAGCATAGAGGTGGGTTGAGGTTGTGGGAGGAAAAAAAGACCCCCCACAGCAAGGGAGCCGGGGGAAGAGGTGGCGCTTAGAAAATGGCAGCATTTTCTACAGCCGCTGGAGGGGGGGAGGCACCTCGGAGCCTTTAGGGAAGAAGTATTTCCAGAAGGATGAAAACCTCACGCCCATCAGGTGTTCCAATGAGTTAGTGGACTTCTGAGGTTAAGAAAGAGAGTCACTGGTGGTTGTGACGGAAGCATGCGGCGGGTCAGAAGCCCGGGTGGCAGTGGGTTCTAGAAGCCTGGCCGCGAAGAGGCAGAGGAGTCCAGCTGCGATGGCAGAGTGGGGTCTCCGGGGGCGGGGGGGGGGGGGGGGAGGTCTTATTAAGTGAGGAAACGGTTCAGTGCGGCCGCTTGGAGTCGGTAGAGAGAAAGGCTGAAGCTAGAGGAGAGCTGCTGGTGGTGATTCCTGACGGAGGCGGGACGAGGTGAGACCCAGAGCCGAGGCGGAGAGACTGGCCTCATCACTTCTCCATCTGCGACGGGAGAGACCCAGGAAGGATTCAGTGCCCACGCAGGTGGGTTTGTATCTGTGGGACCTGGAAGTTTGCCCTGAAAAAGGAGGAGGGTAAGGGAGCCGGGCTGAGGAGGGTAGAGGCTTGAACTAGCTGTGCCAGGCCGAAAAGCAGCTGTGCGGGCTTCGTCAGACGCCGCGAGTTCGTAGTGATCGCCGCCTGGGACGCTGCCCTTCTAGTCGCACGGGAGCGCAGTGGTTGGGGCAGAAAAAGCATACAGTTGGCTTTATTCGCTGATCGAGCACATGCTTACTGGGCCTGGGCGGGAATCGGGTGATGTGCTAGGTGCTGGAAATTTCTTAACCAAATGGACGTGGTCCCTGAGCAACATCTGAAGCAGGTTAGCTGGGCCCAGAAGGGGGGGATGGAGAGTGAAGAGGTCATTCCAGGTAGAGGGAAAAGCATGGGCAAAGGCTGGAACATGCGGATCAAGAGGGAATGCGGCTCCCCGTAAAAGTGGAGTGGGGGAGGGGGCCGCACCAGATCTCAGGCCCTGTCAGCCTAGGGAAGTGGGAACCGCTGGAGGAGTTCAGAATTTGAGAATGACGCAGGATTTGTATTTTATAAAGGTCTCTGAGCATTAATCAAAGGTCAGGTGTTTGCCTGGCCTTATAATAGATCCACTGAGAAAATATAAGACATGTGATCCTTTCTTGGGGGCATGTGTGGTCCTTTGGGGGTGAGGTTTAAGTACCCTTAACAAGCAGCCGTCCCCACTTTGGAGTTAACAGAGTGTGGCCAAGTGAGGGCCAGGCAGGGCACGAGTGTCATGGTGGCAGACATCTGTTCCTTTCCTGCTGTGTGTCGGAAGGCTGTAGAGGGATGGTGGCTCTCTACACCCCCTCTGGATTTATGGGAGGGGTAGTATCTTCTTGACCCAGCTGGAGACCTCCCTGTAATTCTGTCTGCCTTTCCAGAATGACCAGAGCCCTCATGGACTCGCTGGGGCCCGAGTGGCGCCTGAAGCTGCCCTCTATCCCCTTGGTGCCTGTCACAGCTCAGAAGAGGTGGGATTCCGTGCCTTTGGAGTACCACAAAGAGATGGCTAAGAGAAAATTCAGAGAAACCACAACTTCCAAGAGCAGAGGTAAGCTGTGACTTCCTGCCCAGAGTGTTACAGTCTCCCCGTGGCCCCTTTCTTTAGAGTCGTCCTGTAAAAATTGGCCTAGCTTAAGCTGAGCTCTAAAAATTATCTATGAAACAAAAAGTCTTCACCTCTTAGAGTCTTCTCAATTCTATCCTGAGGGCGATGCGAAAGCCATCTCACCACTGGCCGGATTCAGAGATAGAGAAGGCACGTTGGACGCTCAGTGTGGCTCATAGGTATACAGCTTTAGTGCCCTTCTTTTTTATCTGGCAGCACTGGGGATGGATGATCTAGGATGGTTTTGGTGGCAAGGACAGAAAACTCAACACGGTAAAAATACAAAGAGAACGTATTGGCTCATGTAACTGAAAGCTCCGAGTTCAGGTTCAGGCAAGGTTTGCTCCAGCAGCTCAGTACATTATCAGATTCGGACTCCATTCCTCGGTACTCCTCTCAGCTCTTCTCTGGTGTGTCTGCTTTGTCTTGGGGCAGTCTTCCCTGCCAGTGGTAAAACAGCTATAAAGTAGTTCCTGGCCTCATCCCTATAGGCCATTCCTCGTGGCCCAGAGGAAGAGAAAAAGGTGATTTTTTTTTTTCTGGGAGCTCCCTAAGAAAGAGAGGGTTTCTTTCCTTTAAATCCCTTTAAATACAGTCTCGGTGTATTCTGGCCTGTTTGGTCACAGGCCATTCTCTGGGACCTGGTCACTGGGACGAGGGGCTGAGATTTTGTGATGATCTCTGTCCTACGCCATCTGCCCCCACCTTCATAGCGAGAGGGTGACGCTTCCCCAGGAACACACACACCACATGAGGCCCTGGAGGTGGAATAGGGAGGGGCGATCCAGGCCAGGTAGCCCCAAAACAGGAGACTGTTCACCTCGACCGTGTAAAATGGAGGGGCCGTTCTCCAGGCAGAGGTTCACCAGCGCCCCAGGGAATTAGCTGGGCCCAGTGAGCTCGGTGTTGAGCAGCGGAGGTGCAGCAGGTCTGAGGGCTGGAGCCTGCTGTGAGTGGCAGTGGAGGGCAGGGTCACCCCCCCTTCCTGGGAGGGAACGTGTCCGGCCGTGGGTCGCATTCACTCTGGTTTGTGGGAACCTGGTAAGTGCCCCCCCACCCTTCTCCAGAATGGAGATGTGAGGCGCTAACCAAAATGGCTTCGGGGCACCTACCAGGTATTTCATTCTTGCAGAGCCACTGAGCCATCTATTTTCCAGCTCTGCGCCAAACAGCACGACACAGAGCCTTTAGTGTTTGGGGAGTTCGAAACAGGAACTAACACGTGTGCACTTGGAGGAGTCAGGGAAAGGCTCCCGGAGGAGGTGACAGGTTGAGCTGGACGTTGAGGGGGGCAGAGGGGGGCGGTCTTCAGCTGGGCGAGGGAAGGGAAGGGCATCTCTGGCGGAGACGGCGGAGAGAGCTAGAGAATGCAGTGCGTGGGTATCGCTGGGGAGCAGTGGGGGTCCGCGCGCCTGCGGCGTGGCGTGTGGAGAGCCGGGGCAAAGCCGAAGGGGTGGGGACCCCGCAGCCCCCCGCAAGGAGACGCGCAGGAAGGTTCGCAGCAGGGTGTTTGCAACAGTGAACAACAAAGCTGGAAACAGCGCAGGGCTCTCAGCAGAAGGGATGACAGAGCCGAACCACAGCGGTGCGAACGAACTACGGGGGTGTGCATCAATACAGCCGAATCTGAGGAATACGGCGCCGAGGGGAAGAAACAAAGCCAAGTCATAGAGGAATACTTGAATTACTTATTCTTTTATACGAGATTTAAAAACAAAATGAACAGCAAATGGTTTGTAGGAACTATCGTATATAGTTAAGCTACCAAGAAGAAAAAGGGGGAAGGAAGCGCAGGATGGGGGATCATGGTTTCCTCCAGGGGTGGATTGACTTGGGGAGGGGGCCCTGCAGGGCTTTAAAGGTCTTAGTAAAGGTTCTATTTCTTAAGGTGAGGGATGAGTGCAAGGGTGTTAGTTTTGTTCCTAAAACCTTACCCATGTTGCAGATATTCAGGATTTTATAGAGATCGTTTTTTAAAAATTAAAGAAACCCGGTGATCTGGGAGCTGGGGCTGGAGCATTGAGTTGCGGCTGCGCGGTGAAGGGCCTGAGGGCCAGGCGAGCAGCCCAGATTTCACCTTGTGTCTCCGTCTGTCAAGGCTGGGGCCAAGTGGCATGGGGTAGGCGAGGGAAGGTGCAGGCTCCGACCAAACAGAGATGGGGAATGGTGGGCTCTTCTGCAAGCCCGGGAGCTACACCATTTTTTTCTGAGATGCTTGCTTATTTAAATATTTATCTCCTGCTTTAAGTTTATAGGGTGTTCCGCACTTTGTGGTGTACTCTCAGGTTTTGTCCTGACGCTAGCCCTGGGTGGGGTAGCTAGTGCCCCAGCATACAGAGAAACTGAGGACCCAGAGACTTAGGCAGGTCACCCGAGGTCCCCGGCTACTAAGGGGCAGTGCTGGGGCTAGAACCCAGCTTGCTCTTTACCACATATCTCTTCTTACGTGCATGTCTGTGTGTGTTTCCATCAGGAGTCCCCAACCTCCTCTGACTGAAAACCTCTTTAATTTCCCAGAAGCCTTGTGAGGGGGGCTCCTTCCTCCGGGGGGCTGCTTCAGAGCAGTGTAGGAAGTCTCGGGGAGGGGGGAGAGGGTCGCAGACGACGTGGAAGAGCTGATGCCGGCGAGGCCTCATGGATCTTGGGCACCTGCTCCATGGCTTTTTCCTCTTCTGAATTTGCATCTAGCGTCTTCTGCTGGGGATGTGGAGAGAGCCAGAGTTCTGAAGGAAGAAGGCAATGAGCTTGTAAAGAAGGGAAACCATAAGAAAGCTATTGAGAAGTACAGTGAAAGCCTCTCCTTTAGTGACATGGAGTCCGCCACATACAGCAACAGGTACCTGCCACCAGCCGCTGGCCTGGGGGATTTCAGGCCGTCGGCTGTTGTCCGTAGTCTTCTCTCAGACTGGGGCGGGCTCTTCATTCTTAGCGCTTAGTCAGTGTGTCGCAGCTCAAAATAGGCATTCCCAGTTGTTTCGGTCACCGTGAGGCAGGTGTGGCCAGTGGCGTTCACTCTCTTAAAGGAATAGACACTGAGCGATGCCAGGGCACCTGGGTGGCTTGGTTGGGGCGACTGCCTTCGGCTCGCGTCGTGGTCCCAGGGTCCTGGGATCGAGCCCCACATCGGGCTCCTTGCTCGGCGGGGAGTCTTCTCCCTCTCCCTCTGCTTGCTACGCCACCTGCTTGTGCTCTCTTTCTGTTAAATACATAAATAAAATCTTAAAAAAAAAAAAAAAGAAACTGAGCAATGCCAACGTGGAGCCTGGGCTCTGTCAGCCTCCCTCCCCCTCAGGTTTTCATGAACCATCCAGATGAGCACACTCCATAAATAAGAGCGGTGTGCTTATACAAACACAGCCTCAACATGTGTCTCGTAGCCCTCCCCCTTGCCCCAGCCCCACGGGTTCCCCGGACCCTCCTATTAGAAGGGTTGGCACCGTCTCAGCACCAGGACAGAACCCAGGGTGTGGACTATCGCCTGGCCTGGGAGCAAGAGAGGTGGTCCCGTCTAGCCTGAAGGATGTGACCTGTGGCGCAGTTGAACACCCTGCACCACAAGCTGCTGGACGTGAATGCTGGTTCTTTCCACCGACAGTGGGGTCACTATTCCTTTATTGGGTGGGAGTTACGGTTTTGCAACACGCTGGGGCGTACTGGTGGTGGGTGGTCTTCCCCTTTTTTAAAGTCAAGAAATCAGAAGCTCAGAGCCAGAAGGGCTTTACCTCTGCTCACCCGGTCAGTAAATGGTGGAGACAGAGTTGCAGCCTGGCTCCGATGAGATCTATCAGTTTTACTGTCAGAAGCTTGAAACATTCAGCAAGGGACCTTATCTGATCCAAATCTTGCTTATAAAAGATTTACTACAAAATGTTATAAATTGTTTCTCCCGCCCTGCTAACATACACATAATTACTCTTTAGTTCAAAAATCTTGGCTCTACTATAGTCTTGCCATTCCCTATCCAAAATTCTTGGGATAAAAGGTGTTCCAGATCTGAGTAAGGTAATATGGTCCGTATATTGGATCACATAATACTCCCGCAGGGTCTGGGCGGTGGATGAAGTTCATTGTTAACATTTCTGCCTGAAACACGGGGAAATTCCATGTAACCTCAGGCCTGTGCAGGTCAGGTTTTGCTGTCAAATAAGTTCAAAAGAGGACTTTTCGTTTTGAAGCGTGGATTTTGGAATTTGAGACCTGTGGTTTTACTGGCTGATTGGACCAGGGATGCCTCAGTCTGCCAGGCTCACCGGAAGGAAGGGCTGCTGCCCGTTTGTTCTAGGTTTCTGCTGCAGCATTTTGACGCCCCCATCTCTGGGCCCTCTGGACTCACTTCTTTCATACTGAGAGAGATCTCTATTAGCCTGTTTTCCTGGATTTTTAATACATTCAAGACAATGCTTTGTTTTGTTTAAATACAGTTTTTCATACAAGTATGTTTTTGCCACACTTTTTTTTTTTTTTTTTTTTAACAGAGAGGGAACACAAGCAGGGGGAGTGGGAGAGGGAGAAGCAGGCTTCCCACGGAGCAGGGAGCCCAATGCGAGGCTCGATCCCAGGACCCTGGGATTATGACCTGAGCCGAAGGCAGATGCTTAATGACTGAGCCATCCAGGCGCCCCCTGTGCCACACTGTTTTAATTATTAGTGCTTTATACTATCTGGTAGGGCTGGTCTTCTCCTTATTCTTAATCAGAGCATCACTGGCTATTTTCCCAGGTTTGTTCTTCTTGCTAAACCTTAGGATCATTTTGATGACTCCAAAAAGTATCTTGGTGGGCTTTTGGTTGTGGTTACATTGAATTTATAAATTTAATTTCAAGGACTGATAACTTGACACAAAACTGAATTTTCCATCCGTTGTGGCTGAAATTACACCACATCCTGGATGCCATTTTAATGCTCCGCCTTGTGGCTCTGCAGCTCTGTGTACCAGCTCCTCGTCTTTGGCTTCCTTCCCTTCTCTCTGTGCAGTTGGTACCTGAGTGGGGATATCACTCGGGTGCCCAGCACCTACAGCTTGCCCTGAATGGACCTTCAGAAGAGTCTCATTTAAAATTAAAAATAAACCTGAGTCCTTACCTCACTGTGTATTTTAAAGCAAATTCTAAGGGGATCACAGTTTCAAATGTAGAAAATAAAACCACCAAGTCGTAGAAGAATGCATGGGTTAATTATCTTGCAGTGGGGAAAGTATTAAAATAAAATTGTTGTGGGGTGGGGGATAGGGACCAGAGAGGGCGTTAAAGGAAAGGTAAATTTGATTTCATGAGGTTAAAAAGCCTTATGTAAAGATACTGAGCTTTGCCTATAGTTAAAGGAACTACATTAAAATGGACCTTGTTTTCTTCCATTATTGACTGAAGTTAAAGATTGACCCCAGGGTTAGTACAGTTACAGGAAAATAGAAAGTTACTGATAGAGCCTAAGAGAACAGGTCCTTTGCAGAGCATTTTGGCAATGATAGTCGCGATTATAAATGCACGTATCTGCTGACCCATCCGTTCCTCCCGGTAGGCATCTTAAGTTTTATGCACAAGGGTGCTCATGGCAGCATCTCGTATTAGCAAACTGGAAGCGATGAAAATAATAATCTCCAGATAAGGAATTGGCAAAATAAGTTGTGGTTCATCCAACTAAGTGAATACTGCTCTGCTCCCATTGGGAATGGTGAGATGGAGTGGATGGAGTTACAGGAGCGCCAAGACACCTGTTCTTAGTGGCCATCTCCAGAGAAAAGAATGGGGGAGATGTACACACTTTTTTCCCCCGTAGATGCAGAACATTTTGTTGTACGGATGTATGCTGCTATTTTTTTTTCCATGATTATGAAAGTTTTCACAATATAAGGTTGAAAGAACTGTACAGTGGACACGCATACACCTACCATCTGAATTCCCCGTTAACATTTTGCTACGTTTGCTCTGTGGCCACGTAGCCGCTGACCCGGTGCCTCTCGGTTTGGGCGCGTTTCCCGGTGAGCTGCAGACCCCCTTCCGTCTGCCCGCCACCGTGTCCGCGTGCACGTGCTCCGGGTCCAGCACCTAGCGGTAGATGACTTCTTAATCCGCCGGGGGCGGGGTTCAGGAGCAAAAGAGCGCAGGCCGGGAGCGGGCCGGAGGTGGCCCGAGGGACAGGCCACGCGGTCAGGACGGTCCGGGTCGTGGAGCGCCCGCCCCCGGGGCTGGCGCCGGTCCCCTCGCCCCTCCGCGCCGAGCCGGCGGGTCGCGGCTGCGGGGACGGGCCCAGCCTCGCCGCGCGGGGGAGGAGGCCGCACGGTCACCGGCCCGGAGCGGTGTTTGCCGCCTCCCAGGCCACCGCTCCGACCGCCTCACGGCTGGTGGGCGGCCGCCAAGCAGTGAGCGAACCCTCCCCAACGGCCTTTCCCGTCAGAGCGCTCTGCCATCTGGCCCTGAAGCAGTACAAGGCAGCAGCGAGGGACTGCACGGAAGCGCTCCGGCTGGATGGAAAGAACGTGAAGGCCTTGTACCGACGAGCGCAAGCCTACAAGGCACTCGAGGTAAAAAGAGCCTGACTGCCGGGCCCCCGCTGAGACACCTGTGCCTGTGGTGGCACCTCCAGAGCGCGGGCGGGGGCACGTCCCTTCCCCTCCCAGGGGAGCCCAGGTGGTGGCCCAGGGCAGGCCCGCAGGCTGGGGTTCGAGACCCTGTGTGCCCTGGCAGCCGCGGCGCACCTCGGCCCGGTCTCCATCCTCTCACGCCTTTGTCTCTCCTCCCAGGACTACAAATCCAGCTTTGCAGACATCAGCAGCCTTCTGCAGCTTGAGCCCAGGAATGGCCCTGCCCGGAAGCTGCAGCAGGAAGTTAACCAGAGTTTAAACTAAAGCCCCAGAAGGCTAGCGGGAAGCCTCTGCCCGAGCTCCCTCCTCTGTGCCTGCTCCCGGGACCCAGCATGCCCCCGAGCAAGCTCTGAGGCCACTCAGAGGTGATGGCTTCCCACCCCTTAGGAGGCTTTGCTTTGTTCACAATTAAGCTCAGAGTAGTAAAAAGAAAAAACCAAACAAAACCCCCAGATGTTGTTCTGCTGGAACCGTCCCCCCTGCCGCCTGCCCCGGACAGCTCGCAGAGCACTCGGTCTGCCCCTGCCCCGAGCATGCTCCCCACGGCTGCCCCCCTAGCTCCCCCAGACCCATCTCACTGGGCTTCACCTGAGCAAACTGAGCGCGGGGGTCGGGGGTGGGGGAGGGGTAAACTAGAGCCCAAAGCGGCCTGTTGAGCTGGTTCTCCAGGGCTGCCGTCCCCACCCAGTCCGTGGCAGAGCTCCTGGTGTTCTGAGCTCCGGCGCCTTCTGGCTGGGCCCTGCTCTGGTAGGGACACACAATCCTGACGCTCGGGTGGCCTTGGCTGTAGCTCTGGGCTGCTGCCGCTTCCGGCGGGGAGGTGTGCCTAAGCGGTTTTAAGAGTCCGGAGGTGTGGCCCCTCCCTGAAGGTGGGATGGAGAGAAAGGCCTTCTTGAAGTCTGTGGCCTTCCACTCTGGGCAGGGACCTCCTTTTGACCTCAACAGTGGTCCCCCCTAAGCTTCTTGGTTTTTTGTCATGTGAAGTTAATTTGAACTAAAAATGGACTGATTTTGTTGAACTGTGTCTTCAAGCTATTGCATTAAACATCTTTCTGGTACATAAACGTCTGCTGTGCTTCCGTGTGTGCTTTTTCAGCTGTGTGCTTGGAACTTTGCAGGAATAAAGAGCTGCAGCGTGTTGAGCATTTGTGCCCTCGGCTGACCAGACTTCCTGGCATGTGTGCATGGGTCAGGCTCTGTGTCCAGTGCGGGGGAAACCACAGTAACCGACACGGTCCCCGCTCTCGGACGGCTGGGGCTCTGGTGGGCAGGGAAGAAGGTGATCAGAGAACCCCAGAACAGACTGCAGCCTGCGCATCTTAGAGGGAACCTTTCACACAGCGCCTTCCCCCCCTGACTTGGGGGTAAAGGGGTCCGCGAGTAAGTGGAGCTTGCATTGAGTTCTAACGTGGGAGTTGAACTGGTGAAGAGGGCAGAAAGGCAGTCCCAGCAGACAAAACAGACGTTTGTAAAGGCCTCAGCTAGGAGAAGAGGGTGAGGACCGGGAGCAGAAAGTGCTTTCCTGGGCTGTGTCCCAGTTAAAAATAAAAGGGGGGGGGGCGGAATTTAAGATTTTTGAGAGAGAAATTGAGAGAACGAGTGGGAGGAAGGGCAGAGAGAGAAGCAGACTCCCTGCAGAGCAGAGAGCCCGATGAGGGACTCGATCCCAGAACCCCGGGATCATGACCCGAGCCGAAGGCAAACGCTTAACCGACGGAGCCACCCAGGCGCCCAAATTGCTTTCCCCTTAATGGAGAAGCAAGCAGTTTGAGGACTCTCTAAGAGCAGAGGGATTTCATTGTCCCTTTGCTTCCTGTCACAGGAGTGCTGAGCACCATTCAGCTGGTAGCACAGCTTCTGACCTCTGAAGGATGAGTCCACAGACCTCTGGGCTAAGCAGATTTTAGGGTTCACAGAGAGACCCATGTGCATGGCCAAGGGACCAGAGTGGGGAGCTGTACCCCTTTTATTGTCACCTCTCAGGCAAGACTCTTCACTGATGGGAGGCAGGCTTAGTGGTGACCTCCATTCACAATTGACTTTTTCTTCCCAAGGTCTAGAAGGCAAGCATCTTGATTTGCTAATGAACACATAGAAGGTAAAATCATGACTGGGGAAGGTATCCGAAAGCGATTCTATGTGGTTTCTTCTAGAATTATGTTACACAATCACCCAGTCAGCCAGAGCCCAGAAGCCGTTGGTGTTTCTGGGGTGTATACCTGCGCTGCAGGGCACTCAAGCCAGGCATCCAGAAACCTCCATGTGCGTCAGACACGGGCACCTGTAGCTTTAGTTCCTTCTCTCGGTGCTGTGTGAGGACCACCGCTGGGTGCGGATCTGCTCTGCTGTACACACCTACTTCAGCACTCTCTGGGTTTCTGTTCCTTCCAGGCAATTCCCCAACCCAGTCAAACCCCCACCCTTAGCTTTGCCCCACCTCCCTCAGACACAAGAAGGCCTCCTGGGAGACAAGACAGAGTTTGCAGCACTTTTAATGCACAAAGCAAAAGGTGATAGGCTGGCGGGATGACTGGCCTTCATCCCACATCCGGAGCTCCAGTGCAGATGTGGCCCCATGGGGAGGTAAGTTACGGTTCACAGGGACGGAGAGCCAAGAGCAGGAAGCGCCGTTCTCTTGTCAGCCAAGGGAGTGAGGATTCCATTTTCTGGGGATGAAACGGTAGGAATAAATGTTTCTGACATAGAGCAGACTCGCGGCCTTCAACTTAAGAAGGTGGTGGGCCAAGGCAGGCCTTCCGTCAAGGAGCGTGAAGCCGGCCAATGCACAGGGGCAGCCTGGCCTATCCCCAGTGAGGCCAGGCAGGGTAGCTGGTAGGAGGACGCCCGAACTTTGCACTAATCCTACCGTCTGTCCCTTTCCTTTGATCTTTACAGCTTCCTCCAAACTCCTTGGTGCCTCAGAGAAAGCCAGCTACACAGTTTCTGAGAGTCAGTCCCTGACTAGTTTTTCCCAGCTTCCCTTGGGCTCAGCTGCTTCCGTCTCCGTCTGTCCCCCTGGCCCCCGCCCCGAGCCACCCACCTGGTTTCAGAGCACGTTCACCGTCCTCAGCTCTGTGGCCTGGTGTGCCTGCAGCACTGCCAAAGCCTCTTCCACCTGTGGGACACGGGGGGGGGGGGGGGGGGGAGGGGGGGTTGGTGGTTAGTGCCGCTGCCCGGCGGGGAGTGCCTAAGTGTGCTAGGTACTCGAAGTCCCCTCCCTCCATGGCGCTGCTGCCCCCAAGTGCCCCTGACGGAAACCCCCAGTCACCTGCTCCAGACAGGTGTCCACTGCTGGACAGCTGGGAGAATCTTAACCCTATACTCCGTCACAACACAGCTCCTTGCACCAAAACCTTGCACGGGGAGCTGCTGCAGAGAATTAATCTGGAAGGGCTGGGATAGCACCCTGCCCCCCACCCCACCCCCGCCCCACCGCGTCGCTCAAAGATTCAGCAAGTGCTAGCTGGCATTAGGGAAAAGGGAAACCGTCCCAGCCACAGCCTGGGAGCCCTTCTAGGAGAGGTCTTTGTCATGAGCTCTCGCAGAGCACCCTGGCACCCAGACCCCAGACCACCTTGGCGTTGAGGGACTCTGGGGACTCCAGCATGAGCAGCAGCTCCGAGTTGTCGATCTCCAGCAGCATGCCTGTGATCTTGCCAGCCAGCTGGGTGTGGGTATCGTAGATAAGGGGGTACAGACGCTCACCTGTATAGAACACCTGGCTGATACCCCAGCAGCCCAGGGGCGGTGGGGAGGGTGATGGGTGCTGTGGAATGGAGCAGTGAGGCATCTGGGGGCTCGTCCCAGAACTGCTCCTTCTAGGCTGTGTCCCTCAGCTCCACTGGGAGCCTCTTTCCCAACCATAAAGTGCGCAGAACAAACCCTGCTTCGGAGGCTAATTTGAAGAATCAAATTTGATATTCTAGGTGAAGTCACCTACACAGGGCCGGACACAGACTTGGGGTTTAAAGACTACTCTTGCTCATCTTGTAAGAAATAGTTCCCCTATACACACCAAAATTCTAGACAAGATATGCTAAGGCCGAACTGGACTTCTGAGGGGGCGGTGGGAGCCACACACACGAGATAAATTCACCTTCCACTGTCAGGCACTTCTAGTGACAGGGCCTAGCACTGGTGGCCAGCCCCTCTCAGCAATGTGTGGAGGGTCTGGCCAGGCTGGGGTGTTGGGGTGAGAGGTTTTCCGGCGAGGAAAGTGAAGAGGTTTACAGGGAACGGCTAACAGCCTCCTGCCTCCATGAAGCCCATGCAGAATTTCCTTTGAGCAGTGGGAAGTGGCAAAACCCCAGGTGAGCTGAGGAAACAACAGGGTGGTGGCAAAGGGGGTCCTCAGAGTGACCCTGGACATCTTGGTGGCCACGGAGGGAAGAACCTGCCACCCAGTAGCAAGCCTGTCATTCATTCGACAGTGAGTAGCATCCTTTGGCAGGGCCTGCCGTAGACACTGGGCTGGGGACGAACCACACAAGGAACTCACAGCCCAGCAGGGAACGTGTGTTTGCCCCCTGCCCCATGCACACTTATTTCCCGCCTCCCTGAAGTGGCCACTGGGAGCTAGACGACGTGTGTGGGGACAGCCTCTTCCCCTTCAGGAGAGGTGAGGAGCTGCGACACCCACCGGCAGAAGCCCAAGATCACACCCTAGCTCCTGGCCCCCGATCTGCCCACAGCTGGGCTCTCTCCAGCCCGTCGGGTGCCTGGGACAGCAGAGCTGAAGAAACTTCGGGACCGTCTGGTCTGACCAGTGTTTTGAGAGAGAGAGAGGCCGAGAGAGCCGAGGCGACCCCAGCAAGGTCATCCAGCAGGTTGGTCCACAGCAATGCTGGACCCCGTCCACACGTCTGACCTCCACCCGAGGTTTCCCCCCACCAGGCTGGCCCCCTCTCAGCCCCCGCTTCCGGCTGCAGCCACTCACCAATCATCTGCTTTTGCTCGTGCAGCGGCGCCGCGGCCAGCATGGACGCCGTCAGGGGCTCCTGTCCCGGGATGCGCACAGCGGGCTCCTGCACCTGTACACGGTGCCGGGACACGTCCCTTAACCACCATGGACAGGCAAGGCCTCGCCACGCTTACCCTGTCAGCGGGGCACAGGCCTCCAGGGAAGCTCTGGAAGAGCGCGGCAGGGGGCAAAGTAGGGACAATGTCCCTCACAAGGGCACAGTGGGCTAGACACACTCTAACTCAGATGCCTTCCACGGTGCCAGGAACCTAGAACGGCCCCCGCCTGAATGCTGCCATAGGAAAGCGTTACTATTCACTTTGTGCCAGATAACGTACTTTTTATCACGTAGCTTTATGGCCACATCCCCAGCATACTCCTGACCCTTCCACATTGTAACTTCCAGCACATTTTGCCGTTTAAAGATGACACCTGTTCTTTTTGCAAGAAAGAGTTTGAAGTAT